CCAACATGTGGAAATCAGAACCATAACCAGTACTGAGAGGGGGTCTCCCTCAGGGCAGCCTCTAGAGGTATGTAAAATTGGACCTATTAAAGGGCCTAGTGTCCAAGATCGTGTGACCTCTTGGAGTGAAGTATACCATTGACTAACCAGAGTTCTGGGAATGCCTACGTGCAGCATGGTGGATTGAGCTGCCTCTCTGTCGATTGTGTTGAAGCATTTAAGGAGGTCAATGGAAATACCTGAGCGGTGTCCTTGCCCATTATGGGCTTGTTCAAGCAACCATTGAAACTCATATATAGCATCATAGGGCCCTCGGGACGGTAGGAACCCTGTAATTTCTGGAGTGATTTTTTGCGACAGGTGTTGGATGACATGACGGCATTGAACTCGGGCCCATAAGCGGTATAGTTGGGACATGACACTAATTGGGCGGACTAAAGAGGGGTCTATTAATCCGGGTTTCTTAGGAACTGGACAAGTTTTCACCCACATCAGCCATGATGGAAAACCCGAAGTGTATGTAGCCAGAATGTGCATCAGGTCTTCAATTGCCCTATGTGGAAGGACCTTCAGTTCTTGCGCGGAGATACAGTCAACACCCCTAGCGCTGTGAGGCTTCAGTGCTTTGATGGCTTGGTGCCAAAGATTTACATCTAATGGGCAAGCTGGGATATTATATCTAGGCACATATTGCAGGATATCCCCAAGGTCACTTGGTGGCGGGTCTGGCTCCTTTGTCCAAAACTGCGTCCAATAGGCGTCTAAAGCCTGGCACATGTCTTCAGGCGTTGTATGTGCTTGGTGCTGATGTATGGTGGCTTCAGCAGGCCAGTCTGCAGTGCTGTGCGGCTTGACCTGTACAAAATGCTCTGCAATGTGTATCACTTTGCATGGCACGTTGGCTATCTCCAGCTGATCATCCTTGGTGAAGGCTTTGCAGTGGTCTGCATAGAGTGTCAGCGTCTCACCTTCTGGAACTACGATGGCTTCTCTGGTCTCGGTGCTTCGTAGTTGTGTCAGTGGGGTTTGCATGGCTCCTTTCAGCTTGGCAAAAGCGTCTTTATGGCCCCCTTGGCTGGTGTCTAAATGGCGTCCGAATATTGCATGCATCAAGGAAAGTGGTTGCGATGCACATCCTAGCATGAGTGTCCACCTCCAAGACATCAGTCATGTGGTGGACTTCTCTGAGTGAGCTCCAGGCTGCTGAAGAATCAGACCTTGTGGAGTTGTAGATGTTCTTTGTGTGTCCAGTCGAATATGCATTCGCTCTCTCAGCTAGAATGCTTCGTTTTGTCGAGGTTTCACGGATGTAATTTGCGACTTCAGCTGTGAGGGGCACGTGAGTTTCCGGTAGTTGCCACGATGAGCATAAATACTTGTAGTATCGTGTAGAACTGCCGGATCGCAGTTCATCCTCTGCGATGGCAAGAATTGCAGATGCAACCGCCCTTTGCCACATGTTCAAGCGGTCTGTTGAGACATCCAAGGCGTTGGAGATTGTTGAAGGCTTCATGAGCAACTTCATCCCACTGTCAGATCTGACCATAGAAGGTATCATGTATTGAGCGCCGAGGGGGTCCTTCAATTCATTGGTCAGCACAGAAACTCTTGCTGCTGACATGAACATGCCTGATGAAAATGAGAGGACGTCAATGGCTGAAGGATACGTTGAAGAAAGAATGTTCACCTCGTTCTTTGAAAAGAATCTCTGCCGTAATCTTTCCGCAAACTCCCAGCCTACCAGAAAACGCTGGGGCATGTCTTTCTCCAAAGAGAACGTCAGCACCATTTCTGCCATGAATTTGAAGTCCTGTTTCTTGGCCTTTTTCAAAACTCTGTTCTTGGTTTTTTTGTCAAGGAGTGCAGAAGTACAGCCTGAATATCTGTCAAGTGCGTCCCTGTACAAAGCTGGGTATGTTCCTGCAACCACTGTTTTTAACGTTTGTGCAGTGTGAGAACCAGTGTTTACCAATGCTCTCAATGATTGCTCAAACAACTCCTCGTCATTTTCAGGAAGGCCCCATTCATGCTTGTTCCACATTTCCTTGCACTTCTGCGCGCCAGCTGAGTAAACCACATCCGAGCCTGACTTGGGTGTCGCTGCACAAATGGATCCAGGGTTCATGCACACCTGAGACAAAGGAACTTTCTTGACCTCTGTGTTCTCATAAAAATCAAGGATCCTGCTTGCCACTTTTTTTGCATCATCCACAACTGTGTGCTTGCTTTTCAAAACTCTGCAAGCGAGGGCTGAAGCATAGGCCAATGAGTCTCTGTCTCCACTTCTCATTTCTGTCACAGGATCATGGAATCCAAACCCTCCCAGCTGTATTGGGAGAAAAGTGAGTGCGGCACGAGAAATGTCTGTGGCAGTGTGTGGAGAGTAGAACTCCAAGATGGAGTAAGCATCGCAGAATTTCAAAAACTCACAGAAGAAAACTGGGCCACCCTGCAACTCAACAGACTTGTAATACATGTAGGTTGCTGTCACTCTGGAATGGAGTGTTGGGATGTCATTTTTCAGCGACACGGCAGCTCTGATCATTGTCTTGAATGGCAACATGAGCTCGACACCGTCCACAAAATATCGACTCAATAAAACATACTTTCTGTCTGAAAATAATGACTTCGCCCGATCAATCACATAACCGAGCTTCAGGTACAGCTTCTCCAATAACTTGAACAGGTTGCTTGCCGTTTCCTTGTCCACTTTGGCCTTCAACTTCATAGCCAATAATACGTCATCTATATTATGGGCGCCTTGCGTGGACAAAACCTGTGGCATTCCCTTCTCCTTTGTGAAAAAGCTGACGATGTATCGGGAAATATGACTGTGCAACCATGAGTCAGCAAACCCCTGCATGCCCTGCATGAGGGAGTTCTTCCACGGCACCAAATAAGCGCTACCCAGTCGCTTCGTCAGCAATCTCATAGATGAATACAATTGTCTCATCTTCGTTGTCACTTTGTCAAAATCTATGAAATACCCATTGAGCAAATCACCATGAGCCAGGACAGATTCCCGGTCTTGACCCTCGCTCCATGCTGCAAGGTCATGAGAAGAGAAAAGTGCTCCTCTTGTGTCTTTTTCTGCCTTGACCACCCAGGATGACAATTCTTCAAACCATTTCGCAGTAGACATGGGATTTCGACCTTGCATGATAGCAGGGTTGATGGAGCAAGAGTCCCTTCTGTTCCTATCCAAAGATGAAAGTAGCCATCTCGTCAAGCGATCGGCCGAAGCTGTCATTCTGTGAGACGGATTAACCTTTGATGCTTCAGCCTTCCCAGCAGTGAACATCACGGTGTACCAGAGATCAGGGTCGTCCATCCACTCCTCGAAGGTCCTGTTTTGAAATATCTTTTTCCCCAACCTCAGAGCCTCTTTGATCTCGTTGCTGATTTTCGGTACAGGCTCGGGAGTCAAATCAGTTGCGTCTTTCCCAAAGAGATACCAGAATGCAGAGTAATTGAAAGATTTGAAGACGCCCTTCAACCTTGCTTCTTTAAGGATGTCTTCAAATGTGACAGTATAATTATCTTCCTCAATCTTCTTAACCAGCTTCATGATCAGGGCTTTTGATTCACTGCTTGCGTCTAGCTGGTCTTCCCTGATATTTTTGTGCTTTCTAAGATACCAATAAAGATCTGATCTGCCTGCGAATTCAAGAAAGTCAGCATAGGTGTCAGAATCAGGAGCTGTCACCTTCAAGTGCATCTGCTTGCTTCTCTCCATGAGGGAAGAGACAGATGTCGGCTGTGACGGGATTACTGATGTCGCACCCATCATCTCAAGCCTCTCGACCTCTGTCAGCTGCCATTTGTTCATTCTCCCTTCTAGGTCTTCAACAAAGCTTTTCCCTTCCCTCAACTTGCAGCGAGAAATAGCCTCCTGTCTAACCTCCGATCCGTAGGTCAAGTTCCAAAGAGATAAACCGCTACGGACTTCTCCATTTTCGTTCTTCTCAAAAAAGCTGGCAGCATATGAGGCGAACAAAGCTTTTGAAGCATGCGCAACCTTGTTCGCTCCATGAATGGAATACTCTGCAATCAATTCCAGAACTTCCAAATAACACTGCTCCATTCTTACAGTGCCTTCCCTTGCATAGAGCAGATGTCCATGGATCGACCCCATGGTGGCAGATTCAAACAAATCAAGCATTTGGGCAGGGATTACGCAAGCTGGCTTTCCAGAAGCAGTTCGATCATCGTTCTTCGGCACAAAAACCAAGGCAGATGGAAAAATCAACAGCTCATATCCTGGCCATAGATACTGCGATTCTTGCGGAACTTTGAATGCAGGAGTGTCGTGCTCAGTCTTCCAGGACTTACCCCTTGAGCTTTTCAAAGACCTTCGTCTCTCATGGGCATACCATCGCGATATGAGAGTTTTTATTCCCACTGACTTAAGCATCAACTTTGTGCTGAGGAGATACTTGGTTCTGATTTTGAAATTTTCAGTTTCTTTCGATGCGAGCCCGTCATCTTTCCCCATTGCACGGAGTTCGTATGCTAAGCAAAGCTTTGCATAGTTCATGGCCCTTTCAGCCTGTTCCTGCAATTCCCGTGTGCATGTCAATTTTGAGATTTTGGAAGCAAGGTAGGTGATGGCATCTGAGTCGAATAGAATTCTGTCACGGTTTTCTTTGAACCATTCTGAATTCAACCTGCATTCAGGTTGGAACCTTGCCCTGCACGATCCTGATATTCTTGTTCCAAGGTACCTTGATTCGATGTCCCTGTCGTCATCAGGGTAGGATGCATTGTCCAGGTACACTGTCTCTCCTCTTTGCAAATTGATCCCTTCTCGCACGCTATTTACCCAGATATATCCTTAAATGGCTGGGGTTTATGGATGTTGATTCCCAGTCATATGCGAAAAAAATGGGTTATGAAATGTTATGACTTCCGCATCCCCATATCAGTGACAATCCCATTTCCCAAAGGTCAACTCAACTCCGCATATATTTCTTGGTTGCCACCAGCCCTGGAGATCAAATCTAGCTGCACTGCACGAAGCTCATCAATAGGAAGCTCCAAAAGAGCATGCCCACACATGCCTACGCAGCACTGGGATGGCTTGAACAAGTTTGACATCCACCATGTTCGCAAGAAAATATTGAGGTTGAGGAGCATTCTTGCGAACACGGAATATGACGAACGCAGATTTTTCCAAGTGACCGAGCACCAACTCAACACAGAAAGGCCATCCCTGGTGAGGGGCACTGGATCTATCCATTGGAGTATTTGATATTAGGCTGTTGCGAGAAAACACCGAGGTTTTTCATAAACCAATTAGATCCCATCTATTTGTATAATTGAAATATGTTCCCATTGGTATCCGCATGATGCTTGATTTTATAGCACGACAAGGATACAATGATATATTTCACCGATGTTCAACGAAAAAGTTCATCACAATAATCTGGGTAAATTATCATATGTCACTAACCTGAATAGTTCGGCCAGCTATGGGGATGATATCCCTTATTCATTTACCCATTTTATAATGGGATTCCTGGTTGAAAAACTGATCTCCATCAGTATTTGCTGAACTTATCCAACAAGGTGGGGCACCAACTTAGACTAGAGGCAGGAGCCCCTCTTAACGTATTGGATATGAATCTTTATGAATCTTGTTCAGAAGAATGGTGAGATAATGATGTGATATGGTTGATTTTCATATTAATCCCTAGTATTTCACTTGTAAAATCCATCCCTAGTATCTGGTCGATATATCATGATATATCATCCTGGAGTAGATAGAATATGGAATGTTCAAACATATTCCCATCTTTATTTTAGTAAAGTTTTTTTTGACTTTGGCATATTATATTTAGCAGATTCCTCTACCATGATTTACTTAGAGATTTGGCACACAGAATGTCTAGCAGCAGGGTTTGCACTGCCACGCTAAACACCTATTACTGCCCCGCCCTCTGCCATGGAAGCCTTTGACTGCCACGCTAAAACCTTTCAAAACACATATTACTGCCACGCAAAACACCTATTACTGCCACACCCTCTGCCACACTAGAAACCTTTTACTGCCACGCGTGGCAGAGAGAGCTGCCACGCGTGGAAGGGAGAGCTGCCACATATGTCGGCTTCACAGCACCAATCCAGAATTGTGGAATGTCAAATTTTAAGGGTTGGTCCGTTTTTCAGGTAGAGTACCTTGCTAATATTATATCTACTCCAGTATGACTACCACCTGGTTATTTAACAGTTCGCCATGGAAAATCACCATTTTTAATAGGTAAACCATCTATAAATGGACCATCTATACCATGGTTATGTTAAATAACCAGAGGGTATATTAAAAGCCAGATTCTACAATGGTGACCATCGCCTCCAGGCACTTGGTGAGCAAGTGCAGAGGCGCCAGAATGCTGTTGATGTTGAACCTGGTGGTCAACATACGACATCGGAGCTGGCTCCCAAGACATCTGAGCTGGGATCTTACCATCACCAACTGAAGTTGGTGGTGACTTAACTACTAGCGAAGGGTTTAAGTCACATCAGTTGGGCAGAAGTCACATCAACCCCATGTAACAGCGAGTTGGAAGAAAGTCACATCAACTGGGCAAAAGTCACATCAAAATATCAAAATCCCAATGGCACACCGGCTTTCAAGGAATGTTGTTATATCTCCAAAAATGAAGAAAACATTGCGCACACTGAGGTATTCACATATGTTTAAACTATGTTTTCAAAGGATATATTTAGGAATCACCATGGCACACGGCCTCCCAGATCTTTAACTTTGTTTCCTAACAAACATAGATTTCCATGTAATAGCTATGGGCAACATCATCATATCAACAACGTTAAAATCTGAAAACCCAGTGGCACACCGCTGTCAACATCCGCTTCCGCTTGAATGTTTCATAAGTTCTGCCTTCTGTAAACATTCCCTCTCTCTGCTGGCGTCTCCCGCCCGTATCTCCCGCCAGCGCCAAACAAGGCGACCGAGACTGTAATTTTCTTTTTCGGCAAAATGTTTGCACCAGCGGCAGCAGCAGCAGGAGGAAGCAGCAGCAGCAGCAGGAGGAGGAGGAGGAGGAGAAACAGCAGCAGGAGGAGGAAGAAGCAGCAGCAGCAGGAGGCAGCAGCAGCAGCAGCAGGAGGCAGCAGCAGCAGCAGCAGGAGGAAGCAGCAGCAGCAGCAGCAGGCGGAAGCAGCAGCAGCAGCAGCAGCAGCAGGAGGCAGCAGCAGGAGGCAGCAGCAGGAGGCAGCAGCAGGAGGCAGCAGCAGGAGGCAGCAGCAGGAGGCAGCAGCAGCAGCAGAAGGAAGCCGCAGCCGCAGCAGCAGCAGGAGGCAGCAGCAACAGCAGCAGGAGGCAGCAGCAACAGCACGGCCCCAAAACAATGAAATCGTCCAATTACTAAAAGTTGTGGTGATGCCAAACTTGAACTTTTTCCAGGCGCACGGTCTCCCGATACAACTTCTACGAGCTGATACGACTTAACGCTAGGGCTAGTAGGGTCAAATAGAATCATGTCAACAAAACATTGCGCACAGCGATGAAAAAGTGTTCGAATCAATAACCTATCAAATAAAGAACTATCAAAATCTATACGAAACACTGCGCGCACGCAGGTGTGATACGACTTCAGGTCGATTGATACGACTTAAGCCTAGTGGTCGTATCTTGAAAAATGATGGAGTTCGTCAATGGGAAGGATGACATCCCATATATGAAATGGAAAATAAAAAATGTTTGAAACCACCAACCAGCCAACCATTGAGATTCATGGGGATTTAATCATCAACCTGGCTATTTTATGTTATATTACCATCGAAACATCGGGCGTTAGCCATCGACAAAATGTAATTCACTGTCGAACAAATGTGATTTCACCAGCCACCAAAATGAAATTCAACATCGAAAAAACTGACTTCGACGACACAAAAATTTGGATGTCACCATCTAACAAATTAATTCAAGCATTTCACCTTTACAGAAATTGGGATTTCATGCACAATAAAATTGGTGTCACCATTGCCAATCTTAGATACCCTGCAAAAAATAAAATTCTTTGCTGGTAGATATTCCCATTAATACCAAAAGACTAAAGGATTAGTTTGTATCCATGTAAGATTGAGCTAGTCACTATGGGAAAAACCTCGATTTCTCCAACAAAAGACGACCGAAATCGCTATCGAAAAGCCTTCATCCTCCATCCCAGCCCTGGTCGGGAGTTGGTAGTTTCAACCCGAGGCGGGCTTTTCCATGTCTATGTCAGTTTTCCAAAAATGGTATAATCAACACATGGAAATTGTTGAATAGAACCCATATAATATTATATATATAATATGTGTATACATAATATGTATATATATATGTAACAACTAACCAGCTGATATAGCTGTTCCTTGTATTTCTGCAGCAGCCAAGGGATTGCCAAGGGATTGTTTTTAAAAAGTGGCCAAGGAGCATTCGCATGGACTTCACAATCTTAATGAGCCGAAACAAGCGCAGCATTGCAAAGTCAAAAGCATCATCACGGGCTGTCAAGATGACCAGGAACTCAAGTACCTGCTGAGTATGGCTCAGATGCTGAGGACGCGTGCATCCCAGTAACTGCAGATGTACCCTCTGGTTATGTCAAAATAGCTATTGAAAATTGCCATTTATAGTGAGTTTTCCCATTAAAAATGGTGATTTTCCATAGTTATGTTAAATTACCAGAGGGTAACTGCGGAAAGGATGACGATTCATGAATCTGTAACTGGGCTTTCTCCTGATTTATCATGGTTTATCCATAGTTTAACCATGATTATCCCACATACAACCGGCTTCTGCCATGGCTATTGACCACTTATCAGCCAATGGATCAAATGCTTGGGGCTTGCGTCAACGGGATCATCCAAGTTGTGGATGGTCTGAAAATTGGATGCCCCATAAATCCAACGCTTTAAAATATAGTTTGAATATGGAAAACTCATTTGAAGCGGGATGATCCACGCCAAAATATTAAACATTGCAAGGATTGTTTGAAACTGTGGATTGTTTGAAAAACAGATGTTCCCCAGTTAACAATATCTTCATGGCATATTCCATGTATAACTGGATCAATAAGGTTCATTAACCATATATCAACCATATATTAACCATATATTAACCATATATTAACCATATATTAACCATATATGAACCATATATTAACCATATATTAACCATATATTAACCATATATTAACCATATATCAACCATATATCAAACTATAGATCATTTGAACATGGCTCTGTCGGTGTATCCATCGGTTGCCCGACGACATCACTGGACCTCATCCGACCTCCAATCTCGGAGGTTGCCGGTGTTTCACACCCAGCGGTCGTGACGAAAATAAGATGAACCATATTAGATATATGGGTTAATATATGGTTGATATATGGTTAATATATGGTTAATACATGGTTAATATATGGTTGATATATGGTTAATATATGGTTGATATATGGGTTAATATATGGTTGATATATGGTTAATATATGGTTAATACATGGTTAATATATGGTTAATACATGGTTAATATATGGTTGATATATGGTTAATATATGGTTGATATATGGTTAATATATGGTTGATATATGGTTAATATATGGTTAATATATGGTTAATATATGGTTGATATATGAGTTAATGAACCTTATTGATCCAGTTATACATGGAATATGCCATGAATATCCCCTGTCGCTGGAAATGTCGTCACGCCCAAGTCTGCTTCCAAGCAACGCAAGAGATGCCAACGAACAGATCTAAATAACCTCGTGTCGGCATCAAAAATTTGTGGACCCCCAGTGTACTAGTAATAGCGAAAATAATCATGCTAGTAACATGGACTGTCATGAGATTATGCAGTAACATTAATAATTAACATTTAAAAAAAAAAAAACATCCACCCAAATTGTCAATGTTTTTGCAACATTGGGAGGGAGATGAGTAGTTCGAAATGATCAAGCCCACAATGGTTTCGACCATAGTATGTGTACAGGGAAAAACCTTCTTGGAAGGGACAAAAACCCTGCGCAGAATGGGAAACCACAGCCTCATGCGGCACTGGCAATCCAAGTGCTGTCTATGCAGCTGTAGTCTCGCCAAAAAGAAAGGAAGCGGTATGGAGGGAGTCTAGTTACTAGTTCTGAGGATACACAAGCCATCTCAGACTTGTACAAAAAAAATGCGATTTTTGCAGGACTACAACAGTCTCTCTGTCATTCAAGCAATGGAACATCAGTGGTCACTTGAAGCCCGTGAGCCTCTTCGATGGATCAAACATGGACAAACGCCACGAGAGACAGCTGGAACCAGTGGATCACCAACAGATCCAAAAACCGATAATTCAACCGATCCTGGTTGGTGGTAAAACAACCAACCCCTCTGACAAATGATGGACTTAAAGTCAGTTGGGATGATTATATATTCACATCTATTATAGAAAGTCATTCAAAATTCCATGGTTCCAAACCACCAACATCCGTGAGATTCCAGTGAATCCCAGCATGTAAAATCCATGGCATCCAGGGGGCTGACCCAAGATCGCCAAAATCTCCAGCCCGACACGTAGCACCGGATGAAGAACTGCGATGCTTTTTCAAGAGCCCCAGCTGCGAAGGTGTTGGAACTTACGAAAGACGATTTTCTTGTTGGCTTTAAAATGACATTATATATATATATATAGGTAATTATATATCATTACATATCATATCTCTTATCTATAGTCATTAAGGGTTATACAAACTATATAGTTATGTTGTATGGCTCGTGAAAAACATGGATGCCTTGATATCCTGGCCCAGTGGTTTTTCAGCGAACCCACGTTGAGGTGGTCAACAAGGTCTTGATTTGAAATCCTCCAGGAAACTGAAAAAATATCTCGATTTCATGGCCCAAAAGCGTGGGTTTCATAGTTTTATAATTTGCCAACAATCAAAAGAACACCGTGAAACACATATAAAAACATTGTGTTTTTCATATGTTTCAATGGGAATGACCAACCAATCGGTTGTGGCAATTTCATGCAATTTCTGCACCAAGGTCACTCCATAGTGACGTCCCGGGCTCCGTGTGTTAGGCGAAATTCACCCGGGCCACGGTGGATTCCCCACTTCAACGTGGGCTCCAGCCCTTTTTTAACCAGCGGATTAGCATTTAACGGAATCATCAACCAAACTGCGAGAAAGGGTACAATACCACCCATTTTTTCGCTATGTATTGGGTATAGTTACTATAGTTGGGGATTGTTTCTGGATGTTTCTGGCTTGGGGTTTTTGAACCCCCAAATCTGAGCTGTTGCTGTTGCGCTTGCTGTGACAGCGAATGACAGGACTGACCATGGACTTTCCTCCATAACTCGGAAGTTTGCGAGCTAAACTTCGTTTGAGGAATGGTATCTCATTTATGATACCCATAAAAAGTTATGGAGATACCCATAGATATTTATTGTATCCCCATTTATGGTCTCCCATTTATGATATATCATAAAAATTTATGGTATCCCCATTTATGATATCCCAGATATGTATCATTTATGGTATCCCATTTATGGTATCCCGTTTATGATATCCCCATAAATATCGTAAAACATCGTAAAACCCATTGAGCCCCCAATCGGCTCATCGGTTTTTATGCCACCTCGAGAGCGAAGATGGCGGCGAAGACCAAATCACCAACCCTCAGTTGACGTTGGCAAATGGCGAACCTGTGGTATATTACATGTCCAGGTATGACAACTGCGTATACATGTATAAATTCATTTTTATTCATATGCATGTATATATATATATATACATACAGAGTATTTATATGTATTTATATATAGTAACCCCCAAATTGATAGAGATGTAAGTCTTGCCGCTGGAGAGTTTTACAGCTATCCCGTTGATTATGGTTGTCTGGTGTCTAGTACATCGAAACAAGTTCATCGTGATCCTAAAAAGAAAACCAGCAAACACACAGTAAAGCGTCTTAACAGAACACCCCCAGAAAAATACATCACCAATACAGGAGTCCTACATGCAAATATGTAAAGAAACACTGAAACAATTGTGTTACCTGGTGTAACAACATGTATGTAAAATCTGTCAAACCTTAAGCACGTCTGAAGACTTCATAACGAACTGAATTTGGCCGAAATGTGTATCTGCGGGACGTTTTTTGGAATCATCGGAACTCCTCTGCCACCAAAAAGATCTTACAGAATTCACATTGGGCTCCCTCCACCCTTGGATAAGGGCAGCATCTCTTTGGCATAAAGGTAATGTTTTTAAAGTCGTGTGTAACTGAAACAAAAAACAATTGTATACGGTATACGAGATACATCAGTAGATAATATTGTATTACGTGTATGTATATAATTGTACACGACATGAATCTGTAGATCATTTATATATGTATATGTATACATATATGTATATATATATGTAAATGATATATATGTGTAAATACATGTAGCGGTCATTTAGCGTGCTGATAAATATCGACATGCCAGGCAGAATCAAAGACAGTATTACAAGTACATCAATCACCCTCTGAAACATATCATACTGTGGACGGTTGCGAAATCCTGCACCAGTTGATAGGTGGTAAACATTGCATGATGTATAGGCTTTCAAGATGTTTCAACCATCCTTTTGGTGATGCAGGATTTCATCCATCCAACAGTATGGGCTACCTTTCATTTTTGGGATGGCACAGACCCAATCATCAGAAACTGCATGGCCTCCAACTCAGAGTTGGAGAAAGACCCGGCCAGGGTTCCTGCGAAAAATATGCATCCAACTTAGGAAGTGGTGAGCATAACCCATATATCACCTCATATTTGCCAAAAAAAAAGACGGCCCTCGATAACACCCCACCCATCCCACAGGGGGGCGTGGGGGTAAGCTACACCCTACATCACTCTGTTTATCACTGCCCATAAAGTACCTTTATAGTAGCCATATGCTAGTTATATACTATCAAGATCTCATATGCTATACATACGTTCTAGCCACGTACTACCTATACACTATCTACATGATACCTCTATAACACCTCACCCATCCCAAAGGGGGGGGCACGGAGTATTGCGCCACATGCTAGTGACACACTATCTAGCCCCCACCCATCCCACAGGGGGGTGGGGTGTGTAAACTATATCTTACATAGAGCCTCCTACATACAGCGTACATACAGGACCATAACCATAACATGAGGGGGTGGGAGGGGTTGCTGGCCTGAACCATATATGCATGATTTATGTATGTGTATAATACTAGACAAAACAATACAATACAATACAATATAATATAATATAATATATATACAATATATAAAATATAATATATATATTTTATAAAATATATAATATATATAATATATATATAATATATTATATAATATATATATAATATATATATATGATATATAATATATATAATATATATAATATATATATAATATAATATATATATATATATTATATATATATCATATATAATATATATATATAATAAAAAAATATATATATAATATATAAAATAAATATAATATATAATATATAATATATATGTTATATATATATCATATTATTAAATATATTATATATATTCTATATATTATTTATATTATATATATTATATATTATATATTATATATATTATATATTATATATATTATATATTATATATATTATATATTATATTTATATATATATATTATATTATACAATATATAAATATATATATATTATATATTATATTTTATATATTATATATATAATATATATTATATATATTATATATTATATTATATATATTATGTATATTATATATATTATGTATATTATATAAATTATATATATTGTATATATATTATTATATTATATATATGTGATATATATATAATATCAATAATATATAAAATATATATGATATATATAAAATCAATCATATAATATATATATATATGATATATATATAAAATAAAAATATATATTATATTTTATATATAATATATATAATATGTAATATATATATATATATCTTATATAATATATATATATAATATATAACATATAATATATAATATATAATATATAATATATAATATATAATATGTTATATATAATGTATAATATAATATATAATATATAATATATAATATATAATATATAATATATATAATATATAATATAATATAATATATATATTATATAATATATAATATATATATAATATACACAATATATATATAACATATAATATATATATAATATATGGTGTATATATAATATAATATATATAATATATACATAATATATATATATAAACAAAGAATATATATATTATATATAATATATATGGTGTATATATAATATAATATATATAATATAATATATATATATACAATATAATTGTATTGTGTTATATTAAACTATATTATATTATATTATATTATATCGTATTATATAATATTATATATATATATATATATTATATATGATATATATAATATAATATATATATATGATATACAATATCTGATATATATAATATATATATATGATATATATGATATAATATAGATATGTAATATATATATGATAGATATAATATATGATGTATATATATAATAATATATAGCATATATGTTTGACTATGGATATTCCATGACTTGGTGAACTAAGATGGCTATGACCAACCTTTCTTTAACCGCAGGCAGTCCAAGCGGCAGAAATGTCACTGTCCATGAGCTCGACCTGCTGGTTCATCCCAATGTGACATACCCACATGATAAAATTATAAATCCGATACAACTGGGTGTTGAGTATTGGAATTGCATTGGCTGAATTGGATCTATTATGATCTATTCCATTTGAACTTCCGAGTTGGGGGCAGTTCATATTATGCTGTGTGTACGATGGACCTTGATGTACTATTTAAAAGTTGACCATTTCCCATTTCCTCTCATATTTAAAACATGACATGTTAAAACACTCCCCCAGAAAAAAAAAAATGAAGCTCCCCCAGAAGCCCATTGATACTCCTTTTGGTGGTTTCATTATTAAATTCTTTGAAAATTTTAGCATGAAATCCCAAGTATTCATGGGTTTTACAGCCCCGAAGTCTTCTTTTCAGCGAAAAAAAATCATCCATTTCTCCAACTTCACAGTCGTGGTCCAGTAACGGAGACCCAAGCTCCATTGCCATTCCGATGACTTGCCTTGGTCATCTGTGGCGATGGTGGATATCCCTTTTTGAGATACCCTCTGGTAATGACGAACGGACCAAAACACTTTGCGAACTGGAACATATCACCACTTTTTATGGGTATATCAACATAAATCATCGAACTAAATGGGCCATGTTCCTTCTAGCTATGTCAAATCGAAAGGGTAATGGGGAATAGTCCGGAATAGTGGGATAACCTTCAATAACCATCCCAATGGTGAATGGGGGCCTCCTTTGGCAATTGCTCAATGGAGCCCATGGATGCCAGCAGAGAGCCCAAAAGGGCGCCAACCATCTGATATCTTTATATAATGTGATATATATATATATACAGTATATATATATAATTGTATATATATATAATTGTATATATCAGGGACAATCATGGAGTATAAGGATTTTTTGGCCAACAAACATGCAGGCATTATGAGGATCTCATGGGAATGATTACTTGGTCCCTTGTAGGACTACCAGTTCATGGAACCATGTACACCAAGGGCCGTGAAAAAGGAATAGGATAATTACCCGATTACCCTCTGGTAAACCAATATAGCCATGGAAAATATCAATGTTTTAAAAATGTTCGCTGCAACCCTGACATTGCGCCGCGTCTGACTTCAGGTGGCTATGAAGATAAAGTTGATGTTATTGCCCCAATCAACATATTGTTCATAGGTGGTGGCGAATTTTTGATCCCTCATGAAGATAAAGTTGATGTTATTACCACAATCAACATGTTGTTCAGAGGGGGTGGCGAATTTTGACACCTCATGAAGATAAAGTTGATGTTATTACCCCAGTCAACATATTGTTCAGAGGGGGTGGCGAATTTTAATGTGATGATGATCATGATGTGATGATGTGATGGTGATGATGATGATGATGATGATGATGATCATGATGATCATGACGATTGAAAGTGTGGAGCAACGTCCGGGTTGGGGTGCGAAAATGTTTAGTAGGTAAATCAACTATAAATGGGCCATTGTCAATGGCAGCAAATTACCAGAGGCTGCTCAAGATTGGCAGCTACACCCAACAAGCCGGGAGCCGTACTCATGACCTGGGGTAAACAGCTGTTTCCGCAGATTGCTGTCCAAAAATAAGTCATCCAAAGATCGATAAATTGTCGGTGGTTTCTATCCCATAATAATCATCCTCATGATATCCCCTTATAATCTATATGTATATATACAAATTGTCCTCACTATTGGTGGGTATATCACCATAAATTATATAAATTACATTAAAATACGATAAAATACCCATAAACACCCCTTGATCGCCGTATGTGTGGGGTAAATCCGTGACCAATTTCTTTGCGTTCGCTCATCGGATTTAAGCCCGGAGACAAGCGCATGGCAATCCAGAGCACATTCGCAAGGAGAATGCCTCGATTCGTCTATCGGTTGGTTGATGCTAACCCCCATGGAAGTAGATGTTGGTAGGGTTTTATTAGTACATAATAAAGGGTTTATATTAGCAGTAACCTCCATAAATTTCCTGCAAGTATTTCCAAAAATGTTCATAGGAGTTGTTGATTTGTCTCTATTTTTGGGTTTGAACGGACAATCTGCAGGAAACTGTGATCTTTACCCTGAAATTGGTGGCTTTGCGACGTTCTATTCATCCAGTTCTCTTTTAGGAAATCATCTGAGGTTTGAACACTCAAGATTTATGCAGATTTCGATGATAAAAAATATTGAACAGAAACTATCATTGAAGAAATGTATGAAGATCAAGACTGCAGATTTATGATGTCCACCCCTGCATGAATAGACTGCGCTTGATCAATGCCCTAATGTTTATCTAATTTGCAAATAAAATGGATCCCCCAGTGAAACAGCCCAGGGGTCAACATTCATCTGTGGTTGACGCGATGCATTTACTGTACCACCGTGCCGTGACCACCCACGTCGAGTTGCCATGAAAACTTGATGAAAGGCTCCGAGGTTTGCTTCCGAATGGTATGAGTTTGTGACATACCAAGCCAAGACTCGACCAAAAATCATCCCTAAGCAATGTGAGTAGGGACATCCGTGGACCCACACTTTTCGTGTTTTTTTTTACCTGGACTATTCTGTATTCTATGAATTAACTGTATTATATAATTATATAAATTCTAGATTATGATGATAGTTTGATTTTTTTTGATGTACATGTACAATACAGTATATAATCATATTGTATCATATTGTGTATATAATTGTATATATATATAGGATATGCCCAATGTAAATCATCCATCCACGGTTTCTGGCGAGCCGCTCACCATGGCGATCTCGAAGAACTTGGACTGGAGCCACTTGCGGCACCTTGGGAGAAATCGTGGGGAAATTTCCAGCGCTTGGGGTGGGAAGTTGGGGTGGGAAAATCCACCGGAAAGCCATGGTTTTTACATGTTGTTACCATATGTTACCATTAAATATAGAGGTTTCCTGTGAAAATGAAGCCTAAAAATCCCGTAAAAAACCAATCCACCATTGGCAATGGTGACGGTAACAGCATGGTGATGCCAAGGACAATGCTGCCAATGATGATGCTACGAATGAGGAGGATTACATACTCAAAAGTTGGATGGTTGAGCCGGTTGGGCCAAGCAAGCCAAGTCGAGACACCGGAGGCACCGAGGAAGAACGGAACCTGTCAGTTGTGACAACTGGAGAGCTTCAGAAACGATACTGAAAAAAAAAATGTATGAGTTTACCCAATCATGAAATCATGGTTCGACCCTGATTGTATATGGTTTACGGATGTTTGCAAAATCCAGAAGTAGACAACAGGTGGGTACAGTATGGTACAGTATGGTTTATATCATGATCCATGGGGTTCACCGAAGTGGAAAGTCAAGTGATTCGGCTTGACACAATAACTGCCTTCACTTGAGGATTGAATCCTGGGTCTTCATCATTCCATGCCAATTTTGATGGTCAAAATCACCAAATTTCTAATTCATCCTGGTTGTTGTAGATCAAATGACACGTTTTCATGGAAAACAACGCGTTTAAACAGTTTGATCATGAAAGCATTATCCTTGCCATATCCCAAATTTTACTGCTACATTCCCAAAAAGTTTGCCCTTTGAACTCCCACTTTTTCATACTTTTTGAGGGTCAGCGCCAAAAAAAATCCACCCACAAAGACAAGGTCACGAATTCTGACTCCATGTTTGGCAAATTCGGGGAATGGCAAGTGGTCAAAAAAAAGCCTTCTAGAATTTCTAGATTACCCCCCATGGTTTTGATGTTAATTTGTATCATTTATAGAATACAACACTGTAGATCTGCCGTAGAAACCATGGTTTCTCCGTTAGTCACCGTTAGTCCAATGGTCGATGGTCCAAGTAACCGGTGTCATCCCGGGATTCCCAGAGACTTAAGAGACTATCAGCACGGATGGTTTCACCTGGAGCTTCTGATGGCTGGGTGGACATGGCTGGGACATACTGGGACCCTGGGGAAATGCTTCAAAAAACGCTACCAAAAAAAAAAAACAACGCGAAAATGGTCAGAAAGAACCTGAAAGGTTGATCAATATTGGACATGTCGATCACAAGTGATGACAAATTCTATGTCGTAAATCTTACCATCACTATGTCACTATGCGCATCAAATTGACCACTACTATCACAGCATGAATTTGCGTCACGATCATCTTGCTGGTGTCCAGTTGGGCCAACTGGGGTACCCAGGACCCAGATAGATGTGCCATCAGGTCAACCTGAAAAACTCCGACTCCAACGGCAAACGTAACAAAACTATATTATAAAAATGTAATAATAGTAATAATATAGTAATAGTTTTGTAATAATAATAATAATAATAATAGACTACCTCTCATAGCAGCAATACTCTTGATTATTCAAGATTGTTCATACTAATAGTGGTATGCATATGATGTGATAACTAGAAATAGTAGTGATGTGAGTGATAGTAAGTTAGATATCATTGTTAGTGATACATAGTTTAGTGTTAAATATCTAACAATTGTTTTTTATTGTCTAAGAATAGCAGTCAACATACCTACCCTATTAGTAGGTGATATGTTTCCATACATTAGATAGAAAAAACAACTCTTACAATATTAGGTGATGACCATTATTAACCACAATCACTAACTATTATACTTGAAGTCAACCAACTAGTATCAACCACTATTAACTAGTATCAACGATTATTAATATTACCAACTATGTTTGACCATGACATCATCTGTCATGAAGACTTCTGACTTGTCGTCAAGTCACGCTGCTGATTCTTGCTCTGCATGATGTGATGCACAAGGCTGGGCCTGAGTAGCACAGCCACCCCAGAATTCTTCGCAGCAAAAACACGAAAAACCAGGCGAAAGGCGCTACAGAAAAAAACGGGCACGGCACCAACCAAAACCTATTTTTTTATGTGGTTGTTCCATCTAGAAACCGTGTTTTGGCCAGCTATCAATGAAAAGGAGGACGCAATCAAATAGGGATTGTTTACCAAAAAATGGAGTTCATCAGCAAAAGTTGATTAAATCATCATTCAACTGGCTTTGTGAAAAAAAAAATATGGGGATTTGTTTGCAACATTTGTTAGGTATATAACTGATGGAAACAATTTTTGGATGTCACCAACTACATGGGCTTTTGTCAAGAACTGGGGGATCTACCCAAATATGTATATAAATATATATACATATATAAATATATATACATATAATTATAAATATATTATGTGGCGCATTATGTATATACACATACATGTATTTAGAACACATAGCCATCAACACCAAAAATGAGGATGGAATATGTTGCTTGATTGATTGTGGGGTTACCATTTGCAGTCTGAATGATCATTGATGATCATTGTTTTGAGAACCAAGCCTCGGACCCTCCGCCCCATTTTTGCTATGAACTGGAGTCTGATCAGTCGTTTCAACATGTATGATGACTGGAGCAAGGTTTTCACATATGTTTGCCACAAGTGCTGGCTGGTTGCTGATTTGAACCCCCTAAAACAGTTTTTTAAGGGGATCATAATCAGACTGCTAGGGACTCAAAAAAAACACAGTCAGAAAAGAATGACAAGAATAATCAAAAAATCAAACGCAACAGATTTACTAAGGAATCAAAGAATGAATGGGGTTTACTGCAGCTATGCGCAGCTGTAGGTTTTTCGACGAGACGAACAAATCCAGGTGTTGGGGCTCATGCACAACATTTCACAACATATCACAGCTCACAGCATTTTCGATATGGGTTCCAATTCTTAAAATAGATTTTAAATAACCAACTATCTAAGACATTTTTTTGCATAACCAGAGGAAGCCACCAAAATGGGGAACATTTTGGGGTCAGATCAATAAGATCAGTTGGACTTTCCTCCAAGAGACGAATTGCCTCCATCTTTCCTGACCAGGGCCGCCAGGGCGGAAAGTTTTGAAGATATCCAACCAAACGGGAGAAAGATTGAACTAAATATATATTCTTGTATTTTATATACATTGTATATTGTATATATATATATTATTATCATTTGTATTATATATTCTTATCATATATATATATATATGATCATTAATCATGTTTCTTGTTATTATCCTTGTATATAACTGGGTGGGTTCCTCCTGTGGTTTGATTACCAAAGGGTCCCTTTGAAACATCCAGAAAATATGTTGATATATGGGTCTGTCTCAAAATCAGTTGCCCGGATTTAGAAGTAGCGGGCGCAGGAATCATTCAGGGATATGATTCAGGTGTGATCGTTCGAAATGATGTGCACCACAAAAAGCAAACATGACAATTTAAAAGAAAACTCATGGTCTTTTTTCCATCATGGAAACATGGAAATAATATAAAATATATAGTAGAATCGTATTAAAATCTTGTGAAAAATCCCATTCAGAATGATGGTTTTCCATTCCATTTCCATTTCCGCTCTGGCTTTGCACCTGGACCTGGAACTGCTCTTGGATTGAGACCGTACAGACCGCATCGGCATCTCGGAGGACGACCTTTCACAGTCCTGGACCACCGTTTTAAGGCCGTTGACATGGCGATGGTGAATGTTGTGGATTTCACCAGGATCTCATGAATATTCATGAATCATAGGGAGTTTCTGGATATCATCAAAATATATATATCAAAATGGCGCAGCAAGTCGGGATTTCACCAGGATACCAGGGACAATGGTGATTAATCATCAAGAACTGGAATATGTTTTTTTGAGGAAAACTCTTTGCAGGGCCGGTGACTGGCAGATGTTCTATTATAATATATCTAATTGGTGGTATACCTACCCCCTGAAAATATGAAAGTCAGATTGGCTCATCATCCCAACTATTGGGGAAAATAAAGGCCATATTCCAAACCACCAACCAGATATTACAATCTACCTATTGGTTGTTGAATGGGGCCCATGCCAAACGAACCGATCAACCAATGGGCCACAGCCGGACATCGAAAGAGATCAGATATCTACCGTTATAGCCATAAAAGGGAGGTTCTTTAATCTTTATCAATTGGCTTCAAATGGTATCCTAATGTGATCAAATGATATAATACAAGATATTTTATGAAGGTAATGATGCACAGTAGTTCATTCTTAGTTGAAAGAATGGATTTAAAAGCTATAGCTGGGTACATTTTCGGGGTTGATGGTTGAGCCAACTCCACTTGTGATTGTAGTGGTGCTCTTATTCTGGCCGTACTGACTGAGGACCGTCACTTCATCCAAATTCAACCACTCTCCTACTAGGGATTTGGTCACACATAACCTATCTTAAATAGCCTGCATGTTCAAAGCTGGACGTTACATTCCTGACTACATAAATTTAGCAAAAGACTTAGGTGACAATCCTTTCCCCGTCATATTCAATGCATTAAAATACCTGCCATCAAAATCTTGTTGAATATTGGAGGGATGGGATTTTGAAACAAAAAAACGCGTCCAAAGGGCGAGTCCCAACGCAAAGTTGCCAAAGCCCAAACCGCTCTCGTCAGCCCGACCTGGACATGAAAGCGACCATATATACCCTCTGGTGACTAACATAGCCATGGAAAATCCCCAAAACATTTATGGAAATTTTCAGAAGGGTAAACCATCTATTTCGATTAGGGCCATCGAAAAACCATGGCGAACTGTGAATGTCATAACCAGAGGGTATATATATATACCTGCATCTGTGTTCATGATACAGTGAACTTGGCGATTGTGTTTGTAAATCCAGAATTTTCAGACCCACCATCTAGTTGGCGTTTGTAAATCATATCCCAACACAATACGTCGTGGTGGATTCGTGGGCCAGCGAAATCCTAAAAACCAGGCAGGGTAACTCGCAATCCCAATGGGATTGCAATGGGATAAACCATCAACTGCTGGAGGATGTCGCATCCACAGTATGTGAAAAAACTCCAGTGGCCGCCAGGGAAGACCTGGTATTTTTATGTTTTTTTATTGCCATGTCAACAGGGAAAATTAGAGGATTTAACATGGTGAATCTTGATTCCTGCCCAAAAGTCTAATCTTTAGCTTGTGAATGAACCAAGTCTATACCATTATATAATAGCAAAGGATTAAAGTACAAGTTTGTATCTAACAAAGGTTGACCCAGTTCAGACAAGGAATATTATGAATATATACTCGAATTTCAGACTATTTGGGTAGACAAAGTTTGACGGATGACCCAGACACCTCAAAAAACCACCGATATTTATCGAGGACTCCCATTTTGGAGTACCAAATGTTCACCAAGTCTGTCACTCTGTTGATTAGGAAGTGCTTTTGGGTCTGCTCGGGTGCGGAAAGACAGTGGTCCATGCAAGCTGGGCACCAGTTGTGATCTGCTTCTAAAATGTCCGGGAAAATTCCTCAATTGGTTTAAGGAAAGAAATACATATTTTGTGGCATTCTGTCTAGATTTTTTGATGTTTTGGGCAATCAATGATTCCAATATGTGATGGCAAAAATCAATGGGACATCCATGGTTGCCCATTGGGACGGCCTGTCTTGCCCTCCAAACTCGAATCAGCGTTCCTCAGGTGATGGCTTAACAAGGCCGCCGAACAAGGCCGCTTGGGTTTGCCGCAAAACACAGAGTACCTCAAAATTTCATGGTTAATCATGGTTAATTATCGTTTTCCCCATGAAAATGAAGCATTTTGGGGGGTTTTCCCCCTTTTTTGGACAAACCTCGGTTTGTCCAAAGTATATCCCTTCCGTGAAGGGAAGAATGAGAGATTGGAACAAAAATTGCACATAGACGACAAAACTGTTTGTGCTGACAGGAAACATGAAAATATTTGGTTTTTAATATATCTTTATATAAATTTGCTAGGCAGTAGCACCAAAGTACCAGGGAAAAAACCTCTTAGTTGGCGGAGATGGGAGCTGGTTCCAGATTTTGCACCACGATGGCCCTCGGCAGCTCCATTTACTTGGGAAGTTGACGTTTCAATGGGAACATTTCTGTAACTTTAGTACCAACTTTCAACTTTACTTGTTCAATAGTTGATAAGTAAACAGAGAGAGAGAGAGAGACAAATGATGTGTACTGCTAATTCTCGGGTTAAAGACCCCCCCATTCAGCCACGAACATGAACCGTACCCCAAAATCGGATATGAATCATCTTCCCAATGAGCCAAAAGCCAAAATAAAGCTTTGATACCCTGCAGTAATCAAACGTGGCAATGGACAATCCACCATTTAAAAACAAGGGGATGTTCCATTGCTGACCTCTGATTGCCGGAGGGTATATCGCCCCAGTTTCAGATCCATCTGGGTAAATTATCATCATTCACTGGAAAAGTTCTGCCAGCTATGGGGATGATTCCCGAATCCGATTCCCATCAGTCCAGTGACGGAAATTATCTAGAAATCATCATAGTGTACCGAGAAATCATCATAGTGTACCGAGAAATCATCATATTGTACCGAGAAATCATCATAGTGTACCGAGAAATCATCATATTATACCGAAAAATCATCAAATTGTACCCCGAGAAATCATTAAATGGTAGAAAGAAAAAACATCAAACCGTACCGAGAAATCATCATATTGTACCGAGTAATCATGATATTGTACCGAGAAAACATCGAATTGTACCGAGAAATCATCATATTGTACCGAGAAATCATCATAGTGTACCGAGAAATCATCATAGTGTACCGAAAAATCATCAAATTGTACCCCGAGAAATCATTAAATGGTAGAAAGAAAAAACATCAAACCGTACCGAGAAATCATCATATTGTACCGAGTAATCATGATATTGTACCGAAAAAACATCGAATTGTACCGAGAAATCATCATATTGTACCGAGAAATCATTATAGTGTACCGAGAAATCATCATATTGTACCGAAAAATCATCAAATTGTACCCCGAGAAATCATTAAATGGTAGAAAGAAAAAACATCAAACCGTACCGAGAAATCATCATATTGTACCGAAAAAACATCGAATTGTACCGAGAAATCATCATATTGTACCGAGAAATCATTATAGTGTACCGAGAAATCATCATATTGTACCGAGAAATCATCATATATTGTAACGAGAAATCATGGCATAATAGTGTACAGAAAAAACAGCAAATTGTACGGAGAAATCATCAAATCGTAGAAAGAAAACATCAAACCGTACCGAGATATCATCATATTGTACCGAAAAAAACATCGAATTAATCATCAAATTGTATATCTAGAAATCATCATATTGTACCGAGTAATCATCATATTGTACCGAAATATCATCAAATTGTACCTAGAAATCATCATATTATTGTACCAAGAAATTATCATATTAATATTGAGCGAGAAATCATCAAACCGTACCGAGAAATCCTCATATTGTACCAAAAAATCATAAAATTGTACCGAGAAATCATCATATTGTACCGAGAAATCATGGCATCATGTTGTACCGCAAAATCATCATTTTGTACCGAGAGAACATCAAATTGTAGCGAGAAATCATCATATTGTACCTTGAAATCATCAGCGAGCACCATCAAATTGTACCATGAAATCATCAAATTAAAATGATGAAATGAAAAATCATCCAATTATTTCGATACATCTTAAAAATTGTTTGTCTTTTCCTTGCTTGAAAAATGATGAATTATAAACGAAAAAATTTAGTTTTCAAGGAATATGCCAATTTGATTTTCGAGGCTAAGATGTTGACTTTTCGTGGCTAAACCTATTTACGTGGCTGAAAAAAAACTTTTCAGGGCTAAAGATGTTTCTTTTCGGGGCTCCCATATATATATTATATATATATATATTATATATATATATTATATATATATTATATATATATTATATATATTATATATATATATATTATATATATATTATATATATATATATATATTATATATGTACATGTAATTATATGTATATGATTGTATATGTGTGTTTTATGTTCTAAAGGAGTTTCATGCTAAATATCCCCCTTTTTTCGTTTCAAACTCCCCATTTTTCGTTTCGACAGACTCCAAGGGATCGATCCGAGAAGCGCTCTTCGCCCACTTCGACGTTGCTGTTCCCTGGCTTTTTGCCACTGCATCACTGCCGAGGACCTCGCGGAAAAAACGCTGGGAGCCGTAGAATGACTTTTTGAGTTCAAAAGGATCACATTTGGACCCATGAAAGCTGGGTTTTTTCACTCTGTGAAAATTCACTGCCGATGGTTTTTGAATAGCACAGCATTTGAATACATTTGATGGGATGGTTTATGTTCATAACATATGGTTTATCACAACAAGAACCTGGACCCATTCCCAGAAATTTGGGCCCAAATGGCCATCAGGGAGAATGAATGCGTAAAAACCACCTGGAGGATCTAATTCCTCAAATGTGCGAGATGGCTGTGTTCTCCAATGCTTTGGTGGTTTTAGAATGATATAGTTTATGATATAGCTAATGACATAGTTAATGATAGAATATACTTCATTCCAGGGTTTTCATGTAGTTTCATTCTGTTTCATTCTGTTTCATGTGTCATTTCCCCAGCGCATCCCAGCGCTTTGCGCTGCCAAAGCCGCCAATTTCCCCAGGGTTTTGAGCCATCCCCAAAGATCCAACATCCAAGTTCTCATCCATCTGTGGGAATCAAACCTTCGGAAACCCTGGCACTATAAGAAAACAAAGAGAAAACCATGATTCGTGTGATTTGGTGTGCAAATATAATATAGAAACCCAAAAAGATCGAAACGGTTTGAAAAGTAATTCACAATAAGTTTAGGAGGTGTTTACGTGTTTATCTTTATGGAGGTGCTATATACTAGAGATGCTTATTTTATCTACTGTGTTTACGTGGGTGCATATATATATATACACAGATATACAAAGGAATATTTCCACATGTACATGTACTCTGTAAATCTCTGCCTGATCCTTGCCTCATCTATAACTACCCAACAACATGGGACATGTGAACATCCATATATTTATCTATGTATTCATGTGCGTAAGTAGGCAATAACTTATGCATGCATGCTGCTTTGTATGTGTGTGGGTATGTGTGCCTGTGTCTACATGCATATATGATCATATACCAGACGATTCCTTGTGACCTTGTTTGTGTTTTCTGCTAAGTGGCCTTTAGAAAGAGGTCAGTTAAGGAAAACGTAGAAAGAGGTCACTTAAGGAAACGAACCAAACAGTGGCCTACCAGTGACACGCAAGTGACACGCAGGTGACACGCAGAAATCATGAGATCAGCCAGGCAAAGAGGTCACTTAAGGATTCATGAAACGAGGTCACTTATGCATGATTGATCTTGTAAGTGACCGTTTGGCACTTTGGGTCTAAGTGGCTTCCATTAGAGGGCAGAAGTAACTGCCTGGTATGTATATGTAAATGTGTAAATGTGTGTGTGTGTGTTTTTGTTTTTTTGTGCGTTTGTTCGTTTGCTCCTTCGTTCGTTCGGTTGCTTGCCTTTTTTCTGTGTTTGAACTCAGGCAGGTATATTTACAAACGCATTTAGATGATTTAGTCTCTGTATGTGCTTGATAAAAATGTTTCCTTGTATGTCTGATGTATGTCTCTGTACATAAATATGGTTACGGCGCGTGTGGAGGTGCGGTTTCGAAGTGATGATTCGAAAGCCTTTTTTCATCATCATGCGAGACGCCACAGTCCAACTTTGTTGTTGTGTTTTTTACAAAGCTTGGCCAACTGATCCCATAGGGAGCAGCCAGGAGCCAAGACTTCATGCAACCATTGCCATATTAGGCAGTGTCTCATCAGCGCAACTGTTGTTTCGTGTACATTTAATTTCCTGGGAGAAAGACTACGTGGGATGTATGACTTCATATGATCCCAGGTTCAGTCAAGGAAGAAGATGTTACGACGTATCAAGAGCGTCCTGGAAGTTACTTGAAGAAGATGTCTTGGAAGTTACTTGAAGAAGCTGTTACGACGTATCAAGAGCGTCTTGGAAGTTGCTTGAAGAAGCTGTTCCGACGCATCAAGAGTGTCTTGGAAATTACTTGAAGAAGATGTTGCAACCTTTCTATGCAACGTCTTTGAGGCGCAGACGCCGGGCGAGTACTTGGAGTCATCAATGGAGTCCCCAATTTCTCCATGTCGGCCGTCTCATCACTCGGCGCAAAACACACGAAATCCTCGCGAACCTCGAGGCCTGGCCAAGGGGACGTGTGGGGATCGACTGATGGGCCTCCAACGTTACACCATCTGGTTATTGAACAGATAGCTATAACTGGTTATTGATGGCCTATTTAGTTCGATGATGTATGATTTATATACATGTTTATATGATGACTTACCGATTTTACGGATTCAAAAATGGTGATGAAACTCACAGCTACGTTAAATAAAGGAAAGTGGTGTTATAACGTTTTATAAACCTACGGATACTATAGTTGCAATTGCCACTTAAAGTTCTTATCATGTGGCCCAATATATTTCACCGACTCAATAGGATTTAAAAGCTGTGGAAACCAACCATACTGTGGTTCCAACGGATTGGCTTCAAAAAAAAAACATCGTGAAAAACTATAGTTACTTTTCTACTGTAACCATCTGTAACCCATTTTTATAGAGGAAAATCCATGGTTTCATCGTCATTTTTCGGCTCGGAAAGTCCAATCCAACATCTGTGGATCAGGGGCGATGTCGGAAATTCAAACATGTCTGGACATGTTGTATTGAAAAACAATGAAAACCCGAAAAACCAAGTCTTTTGGTGTGAAAAACATGTCTTTTCTTCACATCTCTGGTTTAAATCATCTTTAAATCATGAGTTGAGTCTCCAAACTTCCTTTCTGAAAAACAGATTACCAACCAATCAGCGCGCGCAGGTTTCAGAACCAAAAGCATGGTCGTCCAAGTATCCATCAAGGAAACACTGGAAATGAATTCTGGCTTGTGATGTTGCAAACATGCAAATCGCACATGGCTTGGTATGTCTGGAAATGGGGTATATCCATGTATATCCAAAAAATCCCCAACAAAACAAAATTTCGCCCCAACCGGACGTTTGCCTATATCCAAATAACCCACTCAAACAATATCACATTCTTGTCACAAGAGGATGAAAAATAACACTGGCTATACGCAGCGATTTTGCCTTTAGGTGGCTAGCCATAGGCAGGGATTTGAGTATGTCACAGGATATGCGGGATCAGCACTGGCAAACGTCAGGCTTAAATGGCTTAAAAGGGGAAAATGATCAACCTATGTTCATATCACTTTTCATTATAATTGGGAAAAATCTAACAAGTTTAAATCCATTGGGTTTAAGGGCACCTATGTTCAGACCAACCCTTGAAATATCCATGGTTTCTACTATGAAACTCTCAGGTCGCTGAGCGACCTACTGCTTTCATCGGGTTGAATGATTCGTGAAACAAACCACCAAACTCCGGCAGGGTCTTTGGACTGCATCTCCCGTTTCTGTAGTTTCCTTGGATAAATCATGATAAATCAGCATTTGCCACAGGCTTACCCATCTCAACTGCTTTACTTGCAAGGAACTGCCAGCATGTCCGGTCGCGGCAGTCTGTGTCCTCGTCCTGTGACGCGGCCGCGAAAACAGGGGCCAAAGGGGCCTTTTTTGGGCAACACCTTGGCCCTGACACCGGTTTAGCACTGGATCTAGTCCCACACCTGTAATACAAAACACCGCCAAGAAGTTCGATGGTTTAGGGGAACTATGCATGTTTGGGACCAGACAATGCGGGATGAAATATCTTTCTGGGTGTTGCGAGAAAAACAGATATTTTGTGTTCGAAAAGGACACTTCCAAGACACGTCATCTTTTTCTATTCAACCATCCATGTTTGGGGCTTCTCATTTTGGGTAAATACTCGTTTTGAATCCAGCATTTCACAGCATTCAGGCTTGGACCCTGTCAGCAAGAAAAAAGTTCAAGACACGTCGTGTCGATGTTTGCAGCTTTCAAACCGGCTTCAAATGATATGTGTCCTCTGTATGAACACCTAATTACAAGTCTGCTAAATAAACAACACTATGGAGGGAGTAACGACTTCACCAGATATTTCCTACATCCTGCCCGGAAAATGTTGGGTCCCACTCCCAAGACATCACCGTGCGAGATGACCATGATTTAGGCCTCATGTCGGAGAGTTCCTGAGCGGAGATGCATCTCGCTTGCATCATTTGTGCTAGTGGCTGTTAGTGTGGCATATTTACATCACTGAAGTCATTTTGGGGGTATGGGTAAGTGTTGGTACATATTGCATAGAGCACATGGGATGGGCATCTGCATCTGGAAACATGGCTAAACTTCTATTGGATTCTACTGATCATGAGAATTCAAGTGTCTTCTTCTAGCCGTGCTTAATTTAACCCTCGGGTAAGCGTCACAACTCCACCAACTCAAACTTCCAGAAAATGGCCAAGATCAACATCTTTGGCACCCCAAAAAAAAACATTGATTTGGTACCAGAATGAGCCAAGCCTCTTTGTTTTTCCCTAGCCCGCAGGATTCCCCAGTCATTGATCCCCCCCGGCGCCCAAGCGTCGTTCACGTGTTGCTGCGCCAGCTGACGCAGGAGCTGCTCAAAGGCCGAGGAGACTCCAATGGGAGCGTTGGGACCGGTCCGCTGGATGCCTCAAGCGATGCTACCCCAAGTCAGCATGTCATAGCTGGTTGAGGCTTATTCCCGCAGTTAAACATGATAACTTCATAGGTTTTGAGCCATCCCCATATGTTTCATGATGTTTCTTGGTGTTTGTTGTTTCATCTGGCTATCTATCTATAATATACATCAATATGATTTAAATATGATTAGACATGTCACTATCCACCATCACTCCAATCGTTGGAGAAATTCACAAACGTACCTATCTTTTGCGGCCCCCCCTCCTGCAATTGCTGCTGCTGTTCCACGCAGAACTGCGGATGATCCACCCCCGTCGGCCCGTTGGTTGACTCTGCACTTTCGTGAAGGACAAGTCATGTCAGATCATTCAAATCTCAGATTTTGGTTGGTTACATCCCGTTACATCCCCTACTATTGGGCAAAAAAAAACATGGACAATCTAGAAAAAAGCAGTTCCGTGCACATCTTGCTACCCAGCTTGGAGGATTTCGAGCATTGCATGACGTATTCGAACTGAAGGAAATTGAACCATCCCTTTAAGGAGAGCCCACCCCCGAATTCAACCCGAGAATCCAAAGTCCAATTCCTCACAAGATATCATGACATGAAATGAGATCCTGTTGAAATCTTCCAGCTACCAGTAGTCTATCACACCCAACTTCACTGCCATAAACTTCCAAGCCATCACAGGCTGGCGGTGAGGGTTCGCTTCTTCAGCAAATTTAGGCATGAATACTAAGGGAATCTAAGGGTGTAAACTCAGGCGGTCTACAAGCCTGTTCTGCCCCTTTAAATCTTGAACCAAACGGAAGTCCATGTGGCCCTATTACCCGTCCCCGCCTTTCACATTGGAATTGCGCGGGGTCTGGCGGATGAATCAAGAGGGGAAATAGATGTTCATAGATGTTCTGGACCTACACATGGGCATTTCTAGTCTTCAACCATCCTTTTTGTTGGGCCTCTATTTTTGGAGCCAATGCTCGATAGGGAATGCTCGGCCTTTTCCATGGCCAACCTTTGATATCCACTCTGGATAAGGACATCCACTTTCGAGGAATGCTGGCACAAGAAGGAGCATGTCTGTCACGACCACACTTTGGATACATGTTGGTTACCCTCTGGTGAACTAACATAGCAATGGAAAATCACCATTTTTCATGGGAAAATCCACTATAAATGGCCATTTTCCATTGCTATGTTAGTTCACCAGAGGGTAGTTGTTGGTTATAGCAGGTATAGATCTAACATGACCCCCTTCCATGGATACTGGATGGTTTATGGCATTGGGCTTACCAAGACACCAACACCGCATGGCTGGTGAAAGATCATGCGCAACCTGAGAACATTCATTGGATCCATTCGGAAAAAAGGGATTGAGAGATTTGATCCATTCGGAAAGAAAATAAGCCCATTCCCCTAATATTAAACACCCCCTAAATGGTCCCAAATAAGTGTAAATCCCCTACTAAACCATGGATTCTTGGAGGTGTTTAATATTAGGGTGAAGGGATGTTCATATTGATAGGACATTTAACCTGACACATACCGGAGCTAATTCACAGGTTTGTCTGAAAACAGGCTACGAGTACAAGACTGGTTTCAAAAAACATGTTCGCCCTTGACACGGCGATTTAATCCATATCCCCAGTGTATTCCCAAAAAAACCCATGACGTAGAACCCCATCAAAACCCCCTTCCATGACTGGCTTGGTAAAGCAACATAGCTATGGAAAATCACCATCTTTAATGGGTAAATCATTGAACTAGATGGTCCGTTTTGCCAGAACTATCTGGGTTTGCTGGAGGACACCATGCAGTTTTCACTAACATAAACTATGGAAAATCACCATGGTAAATCATCTATAAATGGGGGTGTCCATAAATGGGGGTACCCCAATAGCTGGCTGGTTTATAATGGAAAATCCATCTATAAATGGATGATTTAGGGGTACCCCCATTTTAGGAAGCCTCCAAATGGACCATTTTCCACAGCAAACTGTTAGTTCACCAAAGGGTATTCCAGATTCGCGGATCAGGCCCCTGTCCGCCTCATGCAAGCCATCATCCTATCGACGCTTGGATGTTAAATATGGATGTATATACGTTAAAGGTTGAATGGATGGACAAATACGTTAAATATAAAACTTAACATATATATACGTATATATATCTATATATACACCAGTCTGTTATATGTTGAATGCATATGTTGGATCTATAACTTAATATACAGATAATTGCATACTATACATGTTCCATTGTGAAATTCTATGTTGCGCAGTGTACCATCTATATACATACATATATATATATATTAGAATATATATGTATATATATAATTATATATTTATATATATATAATTATATATTTATATATATATTTATAGATATAGTTATATATATATATAGTTATATATATATACAGTTATACACATATATATATATATAGTTATATATATAGTTATATATATAGTTATATATATATAGTTATATATATAGTTATATATATATATAGTTATATATATATAGTTATATATATAGTTATATATATATTATATATATAGTTATATATATATAGTTATATATATATATAGTTATATATATAGTTATATATATAGTTATATATATATAGTTATATATATAGTTATATATATATAGTTATATATATAGTTATATATATATATATCATAGGCTCCATTCACCCCCCCCCTGAACCCCCCCCTAGAAAACAACCCCAAAACAGAAACCATCACCTCAAATAAATAAGGCCAAAATAAGGTATAATCATTTCTGATTCAATGCTATTTTTTGGGGCCATTTTCTTGATGATTCATAGTGGGAATACAAGAGACCATACGAACCATATGCTCTTGGTGTCTTCGAGGCCCAATTAGAAAAGTGTTGTGAAAAGAAATGGTTTCCCAAGATAGGCAGCCCCGAGCTGCTGAAATTAAACCGAGTCAGTGGACTTTAAAAATTGAAGTAAAACTGGTACGGAATCTGATTCATTGTTTTGAGGAACCATGTTTTTCACCATTTTACCATTGATTTTGATGCTGTTTCCACAGAAAACGGGCTCAAAAACCATTGTTTTTGCAATGTTTTGCAGCTAGTTTCATTATATTATAAGGTTGGTGGTGTCTTTACAGACAGCTGGCTCGAAACCATGGTTTCTGCCATGTTTTGCAGCTATTTTCACCTTATTTTGACGTTGATTTGAAAGAATCTTCATGGTTTAGCCAAAAACCATCAAAAACACATGGGTTTTTCATCGATTAGTCCTTATTTCGACCTTGTTTTGATCTTAATTTGACCTTATTTTGAGGATGTTTTTGGAAATCTAGGGGTTTGTAAAAACCATGGTTTTTACCATATGTTTCACCATTTTACCCTTGATTTTGATGCTGTTTCAAGAGAAAATGGGCTCAAAAACCATTGTTTTTGCAATGTTTTGCAGCTAGTTTCATTATCAAAGGAAGTTGGGAAGCAATACTTCCGTGTTACGGACAAATAGAATTCTGAGACTTGAAATGATGAAGGGCGGTAGATCGTATATCAATACATAACATAACAATACATAACAAAAGAATAAGGGTGCTGACAATGACGGGGTGGTGACGAAGGGAAGTGGTGACGAAGGGAAGTGGTGACGAAGGGAAGTGGTTACGATGGGAAGTGGTGACGAAGGGAAGTGGTGACGAAGGGAAGTGGTGAAGAAGGGAAGTGGTGACGAAGGGAAGTGGTGACGAAGGGAAGTGGTGAAGAAGGGAAGTGATGATGAAGGGGAGTGGTGATGAAGGGAAGTGGTGAGGAAGGGCTGTGGTTGCAGATCGCATTGTAAGGGCTGCATGAATGTTGCATGGGCTATGCTTTGGGGAGGAAGCCGGAGCGCGAAACCTTGTGTTTTTCCGTGTAAAGTGGCTGCAGCCGTATACCTCGTCTGTGCGGCGGTTGCGGCTGGGGTCGTTCCGGACGCGATTGGTTCCTTCTATGTGTTTTGCAACAAGTGCTTGTTCCTGTGTGCGTAGTTCTATGCGTTTCCTGAAGCTGTGGTTGCTGATCGCATTGTAAGGGCTGCATGAATGTCGCATGGGCTATGGTTTGGGGAGGAAGCCGGAGCGCGAAACCGTGTTTTTTTCCGTGTAAAGTGGCTGCAGCCGGCGATGAAAGGTACCTCGTCTGTGCGGCGGTTGCGGCTGGGGTCGTTCCGGACGCGATTGGTTCCTTCTATGTGTTTTGCAACAAGTGGTTGTTCCTGTGTGCGTAGTTCTATGCGTTTCTTGAAGCTGTGGTGGCAGATCGCATTGGAATGGCTGCATGAATGTTGCATGGGCTATGCTTTGGGGAGGAAGCCGGAGCGCGAAACCGTGTTTTTTTCCGTGTAAAGTGGCTGCAGCCGGCGATGAAAGGTACCTCGTCTGTGCGGCGGTTGCGGCTGGGGTCGTTCCGGACACGATTGGTTCCTCCTATGTGTTTTGCACGGAGTCGTTGTGTCTGTGTGCGTGGTTCTATGCGGTTCTTGAATCTCTGGTTGCAAATTGCATTGGAATGGCTGCATGAATGTTGCATGGGCTATGTTTTGGGGAGGAAGCCGGAGCACGAAACCTTGTGTTTTTCCGTGTAAAGTGGCTGCAGCCGACGATGAAAGGTACCTCGTGTGTGCGACGGGTGCGGCTGCGGTCGTTTTGTGCGCGAATTGTTCCTCCTATGTGTTTTGCAACGAGTGGTTGTGTCTGTGTGCGTAGTTCTATGCGGTTCTTGAATCTCTGGTTGCAGATTGCATTGGAATGCCTGCTTCATTGTCGTCATTTGATGTTGCCACGTGCGTAGATAGGTGCGGGTTTGCCACGGGATGTTGCGAAATGCATTGTAATGGCTGCATGAATGTTGCATGGGCTATGTTTTGGGGAGGAAGCCGGAGCACCAAACCTTGTGTTTTTCCGTGTAAAGTGGCTGCAGCCGACGATGAAAGGTACCTCGTCTGTGCGACGGGTGCGGCTGCGGTCGTTTTGTGCGCGAATGGTTCCTCCTATGTGTTTTGCAACGAGTGGTTGCGTCTGTGTGCGTAGTTCTATGCGGTTCTTGAATCTCTGGTTGCAGATTGCATTGGAATGGCTGCTTCATTGTCGTCATTTGATGTTGCCACGTGCGTAGATAGGTGCGGGTTTGCCACGGGATGTTGCGAAACGCATTGTAATGGCTGCATGCATGTTGCATGGGCTCTGTTTTGGGGAGGAAGCCGGAGCGCCAAACCTTGCGTTTTTCCGTGTAAAGTGGCTGCAGGCGACGATGAAAGGTACCTCGTGTGTGCGACGGGTGCGGCTGCGGTCGTTTTGTGCGCGAATTGTTCCTCCTATGTGTTTTGCAACGAGTGGTTGTGTCTGTGTGCGTAGTTCTATGCGGTTCTTGAATCCCTGGTTGCAAATTGCATTGGAATGGCTGCTTCATTGTCGTCATTTGATGTTGCCACGTGCGTAGATAGGTGCGGGTTTGCCACGGGATGCTGCGAAACGCATTGTAATGGCTGCATGAATGTTGCATGGGCTATGTCTTGGGGAGGAAGCCGGAGCACGAAACCTTATGTTTTTCCGTGTAAAGTGGCTGCAGGCGACGATGAAAGGTACCTCGTGTGTGCGACGGGTGCGGCTGCGGTCGTTTTGTGCGCGAATTGTTCCTCCTATGTGTTTTGCAACGAGTGGTTGTGTCTGTGTGCGTAGTTCCATGCGGTTCTTCAATCTCTGGTTGCAGATTGCATTGGTATGGCTGCTTCATTGTCGTCATTTGATGTTGCCACGTCCGTAGATAGGTGCAGGTTTGCTACGGGATGCTGCGAAACGCATTGTAGTGGCTGCGTCAAGGTTGCTCGGTGCTGCGGCTGCATGCGTAAGACTATTGTCTTTTGCAGCTGAAGATCGTAAATCGTATTGGAATGGCTGCATCAAGGCTGCGAAAGTGAATTGTCAGCAGATTTTCTCAATTTTGGCGCTGATAATGTTCCTTTTAAAATTCCTTTTAAAAAGTGCTTCAAAATCGTCTTTTTGTCGCTTTGGCGTCGAGATGTGGTTTTGGAGCTGCAATTCCTGTTGTGATTATGTACAAGAAAGCTTCTCTGTGCAAAAACTTTTTCTGTAAAAGCTTGCTGTGTGTAAAAGCTTCTCTGTGTGTAAAAGCGTCTCTGTGTAAAAGTTTCTGTGTGTGTAATCGCTTGCCATGTGTAAAAGCACTGTGCGTAAGTGTTCTGTGTGTAAACGCTTGCTGTGTGTGAAAGCTTGCTGTGTGTAAAAGCTTCTCTGTGTAAAAGCTTGTTGTGTGTAAAGGCTTCTCTGTTTAAAAAGCTTGCTGTGTGTGTAAACGCTTGCCATGTGTAAAAGCACTGTGTGTAAGTGTTCTGTGTGTAAACGCCCGCTGTGTGTGAAAGCTTGCTGTGTGTAAAAGCCTCTCTGTGAAGAAGCTTGCTGTGTGTGAAAGCTTGCTGTGTAAAGCTTCTCTGTGTAAAAGCTTGTTGTGTGTAAAAGCTTCTCTGTTTAAAAAGCTTGCTGTGTGTGTAAACGCTTGCCATGTGTAAAAGCACTGTGTGTAAGTGTTCTGTGTGTAAACGCCTGCTGTGTTTGAAAGCTTGCTGTGTGAAAAAGATTTTGCGTGTAAAAGCTTGCTGTGTGTAAAAGCCTCTCTGTGTGTAAAAGCGTCTCTGTGCAAAAGTTGCTGTGTGTAAACGCTTGCCATGTGTAAAAGCACTGTGTGTAAGTGTTCTGTGTGTAAACGCTTGCTGTGTGTGAAAGCTTCTCTGTGAAGAAGCTTGTTGTGTGTAAAAGCTTCTGTGTGTAAAAGCTTCTCTGCTTGAAAAGCTTGCTGTGTGTAAAAGCTTCTCTGCGAAAGAACTTGATGTGTGTAGAAGCTTTGTAGTACAAAGTAGTACTGGAACGTGTCTTGTGCAAGCTTTGTAATACAAAGTAGTACTGGGAAGTAGTTTGTGCAAGCTTTGCAGTACAAAGTAGTACTGGGGAGTGCTTTGTGCAAGCTTTGTAGTGCAAAGTAGTACTGGGAAGTAGTTTGTGCAAGCTTTGTAGTACAAAGTAGTACTGGGAAGTAGTTTGTGCAAGCTTTGTAGTACAAAGTAGTACTGGGGAGTGCTTTGTGCAAGCTTTGTAGTACAAAGTAGTACTGGAAGGTGTGTTGTGCAAGCTTTGTAGTACAAAGTAGTACTGGGAAGTGCTTTGTGGGAAGTAGTTTGTGCAAGCTTTGTAGTACAAAGTAGTGCTGGGGAGTGCTTTGTGCAAGCTTTGTAGTACAAAGTAGTACTGGAAGGTGTGTTGTGCAAGCTTTGTAGTACAAAGTAGTACTGGGAAGTGCTTTGTGCAAGCTTTGTAGTACAAAGTAGTACTGGGAAGTGTTTTGTGCAAGCTTTGTAGTACACAGTAGTACTGGGAAGTGCTTTGTGCAAGCTCTGTAGTACAAAGTAGTACTGGAACGTGTTTTGTGCAAGCTTTGTAGTACAAAGTAGTACTGGGAAGTAGTTTGTGCAAGCTTTGTAGTACAAAGTAGTACTGGAACGTGTTTTGTGCAAGCTTTGTAGTACAAACTAGTACTGGGAAGTAGTTTGTGCAAGCTTTGTAGTACAAAGTAGTACTGGGGAGTGCTTTGTGCAAGCTTTGTAGTACAAAGTAGTACTGGGAAGTGTTTTGTGCAAGCTTTGTAGTAGAAAGTAGTACTGGGAAGTGGTTTTTGCAAGCTGCAAGCTTTTGTAGTAGACATCAGTACTGGGAAGTACTTGACATAAAAATAGCCAAGAAGAACTTAGCTGACATATGGGAAGACATGGAATGAGATGAGAAGAGCTCAGATGAGATGAGTTGAGATGAAGTGTGAAGTGTGGAGTGTGGAGTGTGGGGTGTGAAGAGTGCAATGTGAAGTGTGAGGAAAGTGTTTGCATTGTACCGGGGTCGCGCGCAGGTCGTGTTCTTGGACAGCAACACTGCAACAGCTTCGCACAAAGCACGCACGCACGGGCCTGGCTGGCGCACGGCGCATGCAAGTTCCTTAGTAGTAGTACTGGGAAGTGATTCATGAAAGCTTATAGGTGACATATGAGAAGAGATGAGAAGAGATGAGCTGGGATAAGGTGAGAAGAGCTCAGATGAGATGAAGTGTGGAGTGTGAAGAGTGCAGTGTGAAGTGTGGGGCGCGAAGAGTGCAGTGTGAAGTGTGGAGTGTGAAGAAAGCAATGAGAAGTGAGAAGTGTGAAGTGTGAAGTGTGGAGTGTGAAGTGTGAAGTGTGGATGGGGAAGAGTGCAGTGTGAAGTGAGAAGTGTGGAGTGCGAAGTGTGAAGTGTGCAGTGTGGAGTGTGAAGAGTGCAGTGAGAAGTGTGAAGGGCGAAGTGGAGCTTCAAATGTGACATGTGAAACAGGACACCACTTTCGCAGAGTGCACGCACGCACGGGCTTGGCTGGCGCACGGCGCATGCAAGTTCTATAGATGAGAAAGGTCTTTTATATATCTTTGAGGCAACTTCCGCCCCGCCTCGTGCGGGTACTACTGGTATGATGTTATTTTATGTTTTATTTATAGTTAGCACAAGCATATGTATAAAATCAGCATGAACACCCCCGTCCTTGGCTTCTTTCGGTCCTTTGCTGGGCACACTGGCACTGGTTGCCTCAGAACGGCCTGGACGACCACGTTCAAAGGCTTCCTGAAAGTGAATTAATGCACAAAAGCCAAGGAACAAACCTGGTAACACGTGTATTTATGCTATATAATATAACATAAAAATATTGATAATAGTTGTCTTATATGAATGTTATATCATATCATATGTATATGTGTGAGTGTATGTATGTATATATATATATATATGCGTGTGTGTGTGTGTGATATGCATATTTATACATACCTGGTTACCAGCATAGTTTTACATATGCCATGAATGAACCAAAAGTCATAGTGAAATCTGCTGAAACATGGGGCAAGGTCTCCTCTTCATCGTCAAGATTGCCTTTTCTCTTTACCATGGCTGAGGTCTGCAACACAACTTGGAAATCTGAAATGCTGACATTGGTGGAGTTGGTTTAGTGATTTGACGTGAGCTAATGGGAAAAGATTCTTGACGAAAGTTGGTAAATGGTTGCCTAAGTTGTTTCAATGTTGTCGACATACTCTGCTTATCTGCAATGTTGCAAAAGGCCGCAGGATGGAGAGCAAGGCTACTGGCAAACGTGCACAAATATGATCTAAATGATCAAATATATGATCAAATATGACAAACAGAAGGCATCTCAGGCATTTTGATCTTCAGCACCGCTATTCGCCAGTCCAACCCAGCGCCGCTGTCAACGCAAAGCGCCAGAAGTCCTTGGACCAAAGGAGGCACAACAGGCCATGAAGGAAGGAGAAGCCGGAGAAGCCGGAGAAGCTACAAATGTTTTTCTCTTGACTGCATGGCTACTCATGGCTATGCATTGCTCTATTCTAAGACCATCATATCAAAGTTTGGTGCCTGTTGGTTTCACATAGACTTCTCGCACATATCATTACCCGCAGCAACGCAACCAATGCCAAAAAAGGGAACAGGAACAAATTCAAATAGCAGTGGGCATTGAAAACCAATACCTAAACCTTTCAAAATAAAAAGTGTTGCAGATCAGAGTTTCCAGCACCTCGATTTTCAGTTTTTCCTGCTGTTTCCTCATCTTTTGGCTGACGCTAGCAGCTTCCTCTCCGGAAAGCATGGCCTTTTCCAGCAGGTCCCGGGCACTGCCTCGTGGCTTTGGAATATGTGGAGATGTCTGGGATACCCTCCGGTAAACATACAAAAAACTATGGAAAATCATCATTTTTAATGGGTAAATCAACTATTTCTATGGCCATTTTCAATAGCTATGTTGAATTACTAGAGGGTATGTCTGGGATATGTGGATAGCAATGATATCATCCCACCTGTTGGGTGATAACGTTTGATAACATCATGAATACCGTCCCGTACGACAATACTCTTCAGATGAATGAGAGTAGCTATGAATGCCATTGTTGCAATTATTGTGATTCTCCGGCAGGATATTTGGTATGTTATGACCATGGACCCCTATTGTTGTGGATGATTCAGATTCTATTATTGGGATTATTGGTGTATTAGGGGAGTTTCTTGTTTCAGCGCAATCAAATTATCCCAATAATTTGGTGTCAATTACTGTCAGCTCATTTTGAGGTGATCTGAGTGATGGCATCGCTGGTTCAAAGGCTGAAATCTCAGTGAGTTTCATTCTAAAACGCATATTCCAAAATTTGGCCCGGAAGAACATCCCAGCATTGAAACTAGACAAATATTGTTTCGTTGATATGAAAAACCAATGGTGTCCAGTTCGTTTTCCATCGTCATGCTCAAGGCACTGAAGTGAAGAAGATGCGGCCTTACCCACCATTCGGTGTATTGCAGCCAGTAATGTCGCTCCCGTCGAAATTGATAATATCGTCTGCCGGCCACTTGAAAGTCCAACGGGGAAGGCTCCGAAGTGTTAGCTCCTTTGAAGTAGCAAAATTATGGAAAACTGATTGGGTGACGATGCAAAGGTTGCTAAGTATGAAAGAATAACAATTAGAATTTAGGGTTCAAAAATCTCATATTACTGTAGTGATGGTGAAAAACTTGACCGTGAATAAAAAGGCAGGCCGAGGCAGTTTTGGATGAAACCACACCTCGCATGGCAGGCATGCGGATCTTGCTGAGAAGAGGTAGGGGATCATCTGGCCAAATAAATTTATGAATCATTGGCTCGTCCGGTATGAAGAGCGGAATGCCTATGCAATACATATCCGACAAACGTAAAGCGTTGGGAATGTGTGGCAACATCGCAATTGACCTGTACGAGGCCATTTCTGAGAAAGTCATGGATTTCGTCATCGTGTCGATGTTGACGCCACTGGAGCCTCTAGCTGCTTCATTCTCCGCTTCAATCAGCCGCAGCACCCGCAAGAAAGGTGAGGCACCCGGCAAAGAGGATCGGAAAAACAACATGTCGGGTTTCGTTGGCTTGTAACGAGCAGAAATGTAGAGAGACAAACAAGGAACGTAGGGCACTCTGATACCTGCTTGCCACCAAAGCATCTCTGCTGTCATGCGAGACGTGGCACTCACCGCGCCGTTGGTGTTGGCGCCATTTCGACCGAAGGCCGTCCTTTCGACCAAGGTCCAAAATTCATCGACTTCGTCGAGGCCAAAGACTTGATCGAAATCCACCAGCAAACACATCACACGTCCTGCTGCACTCGCACGTGTCAACAGTCGGGACGATGACGACGACGGGCTAGACGGATCTGTGGGTACTGGCGGAAGATCGTGAAGAGCTGCATGGAGCAAAACGCAAAGCCACAGAGGTTCACTGCAAATGATCACTTTGGAAGTTCGTAGAAATGCATCTCTCCGGGCAAACTCTCTCAAAGACCAAACTGCTTGTTGGATGGTCCAAATTGGTGTACTCAGTTTGTCTCTCCCGGCAGACTCTGTGAGTGGTTGGCCCCAAAAGGCATCCCAACTGATCCGCAGAGATGATGATAAAGAAGCGCTATCAGAAAGGCCTTTCAGTTGCCACAGATAACTGAAAAAATGACCCGCCTCAATGGTATGTGATGGTGATATATGTGATGTATGTGATGTATGTGATACCTCAGTTGCAGCTTGTATCGCAGCCAGGTTTTCCAAGTTGCTGGGACCATGTTCGCCCACCAAAGCAACTCTGAAAGGCTCCACTAACTGTCGCTTCAGCCTATCAGCCACAGTGAATTGGGATTCTGCGTACGGCAAATCCTCCCGCCAAGTGGGATATCTCAATGGCAAGGGATCCAAGGATGCGGTATAATCAGAATATCTGGGGTAGAACTTTGGATCTTCCAAATTCAGGTTCACGGCTAAGTCGAAAGATGAGGCATTCCAGTTGGATGATTCCAAATGATCAAAGTTCGAATCCAAAATCGTCACAAATGCCAACAGCATACTTTCCAAGTTCAATCTGGCAGCATCTTCTGGCAAGTTGGATCGCATTTTGTGCACCAAGAAAATCACATATTGAACCAAGGCAAAGCCAACGGGACACAGCATGAAACCCACCAAGTTATCCGAAGACCATGCAGGTGGAGAACCAAATAATCCCTGCCATTGGGATTTCTGCAGTGCAGTGACCCAATCCCGTTTCTCGCGAATTTGGGTGAAAAACGCTGAGCCATCGGCACGCCATTCCCCGGCCAAAGGGACAAAGATCCGGCCCTTGAAGGCTTCATTCTCATCCATTCCGTCAATGAAGGTCTCCCAATCCTTCCATTTCAAATATGCCAAAGAACCTGTTTCTGGAGACAAAGGTCCTGTTTTTCTATAAGCACTGCGAAAGCTCTGCCAAAACTCGTCGCCGTTCTCGCAATCCAAAAAGCTGGCTGCTTTCATAGGATCGGTGCCCTTTTCCTCGGCGAAACTTCTGGAAGCTGCGAAGAATCCGTGCCGCCCAGTGTAGTGTGTATGTATATCTATATGTATATCTATATATATATATTTATATTTATATCTATATATAAACAGCTAAATAAATAAGTAGATGTACATGGCAAACTTCTTTGGACCTGAAGATATCTCAATTGAAAATCGACATGGAGCATTTCCACCACCTAAAATGATTATGATGTCTTCAAGAATATGGAACTACACTCCTAGGCCATTGAAATTTGAACAGTTCCAATGTTTAGTCTTTGCCTCTTTGCCTACATCACTGCGCTCTAGGATTCAGCAAATCAACACGTCGGCGCAACTGAGACAAAAGAAATTCACATCATCGAAATTGTTGCCCTGTTGCTTTGCCAAGTTTCTGTCATGGAGTTTGCAAATCCAGTTGCAATGGCCTGTTTTGCTTCCGCCTCGGCAGTAATATGCCACTCATGTTGCCACCTTGCCAACTTTTCCATGGAGTCACCAGAGTCATCTTGCGAATCACCCAGTGCACAAGCTGCCCAAAAGAGGCGCAGGGACTGGCCCATGGCGTTGTAAAGCGTCAAAAATATATTCCAACACCTTCAAATATCCATGCACTAGCAGTCACTAGCAATACTTTTGCGGTTCCATATGTTTTCCAACAATGCTCAAATCAAGCAAAAACTAAACTCAGCAAAAGATTCTCAAGAGCATGATTTTTTCAAAATACCAACTGGGATCTTTTGAGTCTGTGTTTGGAAAGCAGCTTGAACCAACAATGTCAAAGTCCAAGGCTGCAAAAACAACAAATATGACATCGTGCATGAGATGTTTCATTCGCATTGCTCTTCAGCTGATCATTTTTGCGGGGTCTTTTTGCTCATGCATATGGCAAGGGAATCATTGCCCATGCCAGGACAAAGAGCGAATTTGGATCACAAGTTGCAAACAAATCAGAACAAGAGTACCATAAGTGCACCATAAGTGCACCATAAGTGCACCATAAGTGCACCATATGCACATCAGCAGCAGCATGGCAAAGAAACATGCAACCCCGTTGCTAAATCTGAGAGTCCAAGCACCTTACATGCCACCCTTTTCTGGGAAGATGGCCTTGCAGGTGGCGCATTGCAGACATCTCCGACATCTCCCAATTTTCAAACTGTTGAGATTTGCTGAGTATCGGATTCGGTTGAGTACCCCACTTGAAGTTCTGGGTCAAGCACTTGGCTCGCTACTTCCTGCAATGGACACGACAAAAAACGTCAGAAAATGTTCACATTCATCTGCACCCAATTAGTTGAATGCTGAATGTCAAATGTATTCAAATGCATCAAAATTCATCGACCATCCTATACTATCCTCCAAAACGGTTCGGAAACGTTCTTCACGAATTCGCCCTGTGTTGGGGCTGTCTGGTTCTTTGACCTGAGCATCCCCACTCTGCTGGCAATTCGTGACAATTCGTGATGTTCATGTGATGTTCACGTTTGCAATGGCAGAGACTAGACAAGATCCGCGCCAATGTAGCCACCGCTTCGGTCAATCGTGGCAAGGCGTTCTTTGCGGCCAGCGACTTTGTTGTTTTATGCACTACCTTCTGCAAAGTTTGCACGTCAATCTGAACCGAGTCCCCCACGCCGATCAGAGCCAATTTACAAAACAAAACAGTTGAAATAGAACCAAACTGAGGCAAAACCCCGAGGACTTTCATAAGTTGCAACTGCATTGGTCGCTTGAACGTCAACGTTTTGTCGCCACCCACCTTCAACATCCTTCAACCAGGACTCCACCGGTCTTGCTGAAAGAATTTTTTTTTTAACAATAAACCATTCGTTTCCATCTGCACCTCCGTCAATGGGAGCACGACACGTGAGACAGGCTCCTCGGGAAAGCGAATCTGAACGAATTTGATTTTTTCAGTGTGTGTGTTCGCAACGATATCTACAACGAAGGCCTGCATTCTAATGTAATTATGCAAAACCATGGTTTCCTTTCAATTTTCTCGGAAAAATGTTCCAATAATTCTCAAGTTTTCGTGCCAAATCCAAATCCATTGAACGTACCCTCCTTGGACCCTTTCTCTGGCCCTTTCTCTGGCATATAGAGCGGCACAACCTGCCAACGCACAAACAAGTCGAGCTAACAACCAAATATGAAATTAAACGCACTATTAATTAACACTTGGGAACCATAAAATTCATAAAATTGTCCTGGTATTTCGCGAATCCCACGTGACACTACCAGTGCCGTTGCGCATCAGTGGCACCTGCGAGCCCAACCGGTATTCTCTCCATTGCCCCGGCCCCCGGCACCGCATTTGTGATTACGCTGCAACAATTTTGCAATTCAACCATGTCAAATAATTTAAGGAAAAAAATTGAACCATTTATGATGTAGAAAATCCCATACTGTGGTTCCAATGCGGCATGTGATTTCCTTCAACGCCCTGTTTGAGCAAATCCAAATACAATCTCATGCATATGATGCGCCATGTGTCAAATCACACAACAATGCCAAAACTCATGATTTGAGAAACATACTATCTATATATATATAGATAGATAGATAGATATAGATATAGATATAGATACAGATACAGATATAGATATAGATATAGATATAGATAGTTTTGGTCTGATGTGATCGCTTGACAGGGAAAACACGCGTTTCCTGGGTTGGTTCCTATCAAGAAAGACTATCAAAATTGTTTGCACGCGGATGCGTTAAAAACGCTATTGTTGCAACTGCTGCTATAGCAGCTGCTGATCATGATGACCATGATGATGATGATGATGATGATGGTGGTGATGATGATGATGATGATGATGACGGCGGTCATGACGACCATGATGATGATGTTAAAGATGGTGAAAACCATTTCGAATTGCGCTAGGGACCGTTTTGTACGCTACATTGGGGTCTGTCTTTGCTTCAATCACACCCAAGTCAGCGCTCTCTGACATGTCTGTGACTGAGCCTGGCATGCGTGGTTGTTTTCCTAAAACCCATTGGCTAGCACTGTAGCCATTTGTTCTCTGCAACTGGTTTTTCGTGGATGTACATTCTTGCAACAGCATCTCAAAGTCTGCAAGTCCTGCTGTCTCAGTATGAGCAACCACTTTTCTGACCATTGCTTTTAGGATACCCCCATGACGTTCTACTTTCCCTATGGCTGCTGGGGTTTCCAAAGGGGCAAACTCGATATTGCACCCATGACTGGCCAGCATCTTGGTCACTGCACCTCGCTTGTGCAAACCTCGATCCATGATGCAGGCCTTTGGCTAACCAGCCCAAGCAATCCACTTGGTCATCAGCGCTTTGGCACATGCCTCTGAAGTAGGCTGTCCTCCACCTTCCTTGACAACTTCACACATGTGAAAACCCGTTGCAACGTCAACCATTGACATCACTGAGTACTTACCCCCCAAATGATCTCTCATTTCCAGTACGTCAAAACCCAACATAGCGTTAAACTCAAAGTTGAAATGGCTCCCAACTGGATGGTCTCTCGGGGGTTTTGCAGAGTCCTCACATGCCTGGCACCTCACCAATCGAGCTGCCTCAATCAGCTCAGGAGACGCCCTTCCTGCCTTCAGGATGTTCTTCAAGGTAGCAGGTGTTGGATGGCCAAATTGCCTGTGCAGACGTCGGATGGCAATCCTAGTTCGTGTGGGCAGTGCTCTCCAACGCGCTCTCCTCTGGACCTCATCCAATGGGGCTCCAGGGATTGCAAGTTGATCCAACATGAGTTGTTCATTCTCTGCTGGAGTCAGAGGCTTGTTGGGATCATCCAGCATCTGGACATCTGATCCAGATAGCTCATCCAAAGCTTCACCAACACAACATGTCTGTGCGTACCTATCTAGGTAAAGCTTCTCTGAATGACCCTTCAACAACTCATGAAACTCCATGCCACATGCGTCCTGGAACGTCCTTGGTGTCATGGACACTTGACCATCGTTCCACTCCTTGGCCAGCCTGCTCAAGGCATCTTCACGGTCTCCTGCAACAAACAGGCACAGATCACCACCAAAGCAAGTGCTCTTGTCAACCAGGTTTTCCTGGTACGGGGTGAAAACCACAACCGTTCATGTCAGCTTCACAGTGGATGTCTTAGATCTGATTCCAAGTGGGGTTTTCCATGTACACTGCAACCAGTCCAGGGCATTGGGATGAAACCCTGGCTGCAAGTTTCTTGCATGTGTCTTCCCAACTGGAGTCCACTGTCATGACATGCACATCATTCCAACTGGACAAGTTGACCGTGGGATCTTTCAAAACCAACATGCGGACAGCTCCGCCAAGTGGGATACCCCTACCATGGCTTTCATGACATCATCTTCGTGCTGCATGATTTTCAACCCTGAGGTTACCACACACTTGTCCTTTTTGTCCATTACCCTTGACTCTGTGGACATCAGGGCTCCCAACAACGCACATGGCTGGGACTCTGTTTTCACCTCCAGCTTCACAACAGCTGTTGTTGTCTCAGAACCAGCAGCACCGCTTGGATCATCATCGTCACTGGCCAGATCGATGTACTTGCTGGGATGCATTGGTGTCATGGCCTTAGTGAACGTTCCAGGCATGCTGACCTTTTCAGGGGTTTCTCCCTCAGTAACTCCCAAAGCCTTAAGTTCAGGGGTCTTCTGTTCAGGGGGATTATCACCTTGTTCTTCCTTTGGGGCAGTCACTGCAGCATGAGCAGTGGGAATTTCCTCAACCACATCCATGGGTTCTTGGTTCTCCGTTGTTTCCATCTCTGCATCAAGCGCAAGGCGCGTGCCGTCCTCTTCAGTGATCTCTTCAACGTCATCGTCCTTTTCTTCCTCCTGATCATCGCCAGGGGCGTCCCCATCACCGTTTCCATCCTCCGCGTCTCCAGGATCACCAGGCTCTTGGGGAGATGATGCCTCAGCTTCCTGCGTGGGAGCATACACCAGGATCCGACCTGTGGACTCATGATGGTATCCCAAGTCATCACCACAGGGGTAGGTCCCTTCCACTGTCCAGCTTCTGTCAATGTAGTCGTAGATGCTGATGCTCCATCCCTCACATCTCATGGACGGTGACGCCCATGATCTCCTGATGGTCTTCCTGTCAGAGGATTCCTCCTGCAGGCACAGTCCAATGTAGTCAGGGCCAAGCACTGCCACTTTTACATTGGACGACATGTTGTTCTGTTCAACTGTCTGCACCTTCCTTTCTTCTGCTGTCGTGCCTGGGAAGTATGGGCCAATCCAACGCAAGCACTTCTGCTTGTAGCCGGTCTGATGGTCCACAGCAGCTGCATACCACATGGCATCCAACAGCTCCACAGAAAGTCCATGGGCCTCGACTCTGTGGTTCCAGGAGGTGCCATCACCCTCCTTTGCAGGAAGGTCCAAGTGACTTGGCCAACCAGCCAACACAGACTCCACACTCATCTGACGCGCCTGCGGTCGTCGTCGAGGGAGAGGTGTCAGACTCCTTGCAGGTGGTCTGGGTGGTGTCCTTGGCCGATGGTATGTCCCCTGACGACGCCATGGTGCATCTCTGTACCCTCGGCTCTCTCGAGGGGATCTGGACCTACCTCGTCGTCGTGAGTCTCGAGAGTTTCTTCTGCTCCTTACGATCCTGAAGCCCTTGCCTGATCTCTCTCAGCCACAAGCTGTGTCACCACAGATGTCAGTTCACTGATCCTTGCAATCAAGGCCTCTGTCTGTGGTGTGTCCCTTGGTGCTGAACGTGACCTCCTTGGCGATGGGCATCTCATAGGTGGGGTCTTTGGTGGGGGAACTGCGCGTGCCTCAGCTGGAGATCGTGGTGTGGATCCCGTTAATGCAGCTCTTGGAGGTGCAGGGGGCGCAGGTGGGCCAGCGCTTGCCGCCTTGGCCACAGGTGCCCTTGGCGCTGGTGCTGTGGGAGCTGCCTTGGGTGCTGATGCCAATCCAACACCCCTCACCTCACAGCAGTCATCCAGCACTCTCATGTCTCTCTCACTCATCTCACAACGGGCCAAATCACACAACCTTCCAGCATGGTCTTCTGCCTCAGTCCTGGCGTCCATGTTGACATGGTGGCAGTGATCACATCTGCCACGACAGCCACCTGACATCAGCCCAAGTGGCTCGAGCATTGGCATGAGTCAAGCTGCAGCTGATCTTCAAGAACTCCAAGGCACCAACCAACCCAGGGCAACGCTCCAGTAAGCCACGACTGCAACTGACTTCCCATCTTCAACAAACTGCTTCACCTTTCTGATCAAGGCGTGCATGATCTGCATGGTCCAATCATTGCGCACAAGCCCTGCCAAAATGTCAGGGTGAGTTCCGATGTGACTCCTCAAACTCTTGTCATGATGAGGGTCTCCAAGCTCCAATGTGTCAACCACAAAGACTTCCCTGTCACCCAAGCCAAAGTTATGGCAAACTCTCTCAAGGTTGCGCGCTGATGGATCGTTCACATAGGCATCCAGTGGAGGGCAAAAGTCCTTCCCTGCAGTGTAGATCAGCACTTGCTGTCCAGATGGGGACATGGTGCTGGCGCGCATGTTGGGGTCATGGTTCAATTCCACTTCACAATCCTGTTGAAACTGGTGCATCACCGCTACTGAGTCCCCAGTATTCAAAAGCAATTCCAACCGCTCATATTTCAACACGTCTTCTGCCAGATCTACCAAGGGTGCAGCAGACTGACTCACAGCCCTTCCCAAGGCTTCCCTGCGCTGTCCCTCATCACGTGGCATCTCGTCCACATGAGTTCCACACAGCAGACAAAACGTTCTGCTTGTGCTCTTGGTTGATCCTCTTTTGTCAGTGACTGCATGGTTGCATGTCTCGGGATCTTCGGTGTAGTTTGGATTCCTTGGGGTCTGAGTGACTCTTCCACAATCCCTACATGTCTTGCGCATGACGTATGCACTGGATCCTAGTAAGCTAAAGTCCTTGCAAACATGACCAGAAATCTCAACAGGGGATTGGGAGGCTTCTTCGTGGCAGTTTTGTGTCTCGATCCTGGCACCGGGGCAGGTCTTGGCTGAACTTCCTCAAGACTTGGCTTGGGGGGAAACTTGATGGGTTCCCTGATCAACATCATGGTACATGTCGACCCAATCCAGAAACTGATTCAGGATTCTTGACGCTCCAAAGATAGTACCCAGGGTATTGTTGCAACACTGCATGGTAGGTGTAACCCTTATGCTGCCCAAACGTGAAAACATAGTCACTTCCAGGGGGCAAAGTCGTGTCAGCCATAGGGTCCCCCCTCCTGGCACGAAAGCCAGGCATTCTGGGCACACGTGAACCCGATGCAAGGCTTGACACCTGGGAAAAGCTACCATCACTGGTTGTAGGGGATGAACGTGGTGGCGTCTTTGCCTTGGCTTTGGCAGGGTGTGCAGTGGGGGTCTTATAACCCATGTAATTACCCACATTTCTTCTTACTACTCCCTACTCCAATAACCATGCAAGGCAATGGGCCATCATCGTCTCCTGAGGAATCGCTCAAGGCAAAGTAGCCAACCTTCCCTTGGCGTGACACCTGACCTGGGACCGACGCTGTGGCATTGGGCTTCTTGTTTGGCATTTTGCATTCTGGGTCACCTGTCCAGTGTCCATAGCTTCCACAGCGTAGGCAACAACTGTTTTTCTTCAGACTAGCAAGTCTGACTTTCTTGTCTTGGATGGACAATTGGATCTTCACAACCCTCTTGCCCTTCCCTTTGCCTTTGTCCTTGCCCTTTCCTGATCCCTTGTAGGCTCCTTTCCCCTTTGCACGTTCCACAGCTGCGTAGGCCTGCAACTAGTGTTGGCAAGCCTCTCCAAGTTCTTCAAAACCATCTGTTGATGTCTCGTCCATGTCACAGGCAGCCATGGCAGTCAGTGCGATGCCAAAAACATCCAGGTATACCTGAGTCTCTTGATGGCAAGACCAGCACCGTGGCTCATGCACGTGTGCCAACTGGCCACAAGACAGCGCAAAAACAAACCAGAAATCTTAGGCACAGCAACGGTGGCGTGCCGAAGAATCTGGTGGCCCGTCAGAACAGAGGGTGCCGCGGCAACCCCATTCCCACACTGGGCCAAAGAAATGGCAAAAATCCCCACCGACTGGAAAAGCAGACGCACAAGTTGGGGGATCGCCTAGGCCGTGAAAGGAAATGATGGAAAAACGGCCGTATAGCAAAGGCAGCATCAAGGCCGGGCTCCACTGACACAAGGAGAACATGTTTGACATGTCATCGAGGTGTGCAGGAAGCCCTTCAGAAAAAGAAGGCTCTCACTTGGCTGGCATCGCTCAGGGCTCAGGTTGCACAAGAAAGTCCGCCGCCGAGGCAGAGGCCAGTCCAGCACGCCGTCGAAGCACAGCTCGGGCGCGGTGGCAGCGTGCAACCACACACAACTCCTGCAAGAGCTTGCCATGAACCTGGGGCACGTCCTGTCCAGTCCGGACAGCAACGGACCCTGAGACGTGGCGTAGGAATTTGGCGGCTTCTCTCTCCCATGCCCCTGTGCACTCAAGGACCAGAGGCTTGAAGCTCAGGCCTTGGCGGGCGCATACGGCAGCAGTGTCCAAGTGGGCCCGCTTCACCTGAGCATAAGATGCTGCAGCCGCTGCCGGAGTGTTGCTCGCCTCCGTCAAGCTCTCCGCCCGCAATGGCGCCGTCACGGCAAGGTCAAGGGCGGTTGGAGAGCCAGCATAGGTCGGCAAGAAAATGTCGGCAGGGCGTCGCTCAGCCACGCTATCATCAGGTCGGTGTGGCAGAAGGAGTCCGGGTTTTTCCTTCTCGGGCTTGAGGCCAGCAACGTCGAGCCACCAGTGGAGAAGGTCTCGGAGAGCGTTGTGACGCTGCACCCGTTCCCCCCCAGCCATGGTAGGAGAAGCGGTCAAGCACAGAGTCGCATTGCGGGCACCAGGCATCTTGGAGAGCTTCGGTCATGCCCAGTCTTTGGCCAAGTTCCGTGGTGAACAGAGCAGGTTCGATCCGAAAGCGGCCAGGAAAGCTCGGGCTCCCGGCTCAGCCTCAGACAAAAGGACTGCACGTCCAGCAACCGTGGAGGAGGCAAGCTGCCGCTCCCAGGAGGCGATGTCCAGCTTCAGCGTCAATGCTTTTTGTCTCAAGCTGAATGCAGTTTCCAGGGTGAGGGGGCTCGCCGTGCCAAGCACTTGATTGTAGGTGGACAAAGCTGAAGCGGCATGGCTGTCAGCAATTGCAGAGTAGTGTGGATCAAGCTGCGTGCAAGCAACAGAGCACCCACCAACCGAAGCAAGGTATGCAGCAGCGCTGTCCCGCACCGTGCTTCGCAACCCCAGGCCGCCGTGCCCAAGCCCTCTTGTAGCTTGTTCCCATTGAGCAGCATCTGGATGCAAGCCGGTCAAAGTTTCGAAGCAGGTCCGAACAAGATCGTCGAAGTGCCTCAAAGCACGACCTTGCGGGCCAGGCGCGGCGCATCTAAGATTGCGGGCTAGGCGGGAATGCCCAGCGGCTCGGCGCAACAGCCGGAGCCCAATCTGCGGGTCCTCCAAGTCGGCGATGCCATCGAGCAGCCGCTCGGCGGCTTCCACTCGGCCAACGGTGTGGGCAGCGCAGAAAGCGTCATCGCCAATGGGGGCGCCCAAGAGCTCAAAGTTGCGCATGAGCCGGCTGGCCCCCGTCGCTGTATACAGCAATGTCGCTGGGAAGTGGACATCAAGGTCGGCCGGCGACGTCGACCCCACCGCAATCACTTCGGACTTGTGCAAATTCAGGGTGAGGCCCAGCAAGGCAGCCCGGTGTTGAAGGTAGGTCAAAGCTGCGGGTACTGCAGCGATGTCACCTGCAAGGAGCCCATCGTCGAGGTAGAACACCGCCAAGTCAACCCCTTGTTGGAGCTCCTCAGCGAGAGCTTGGATGGCAAGCGCAAAGAAGAAGGGACCAAGTGGATCTCCTTGTTGCACACCGCCCGCCGAGGTCAATGTGGAGGACCCAAAACGAAGGCAAGTGTGGCCCCCATAGCACCACCAAGCCCAGCGCGTGAGGCCGGGGAAGCGGGCCTGCACCGCCTGCAGCACGGCAGCGCGGCTGATAGTGTTGAAGGCATTGTGGAAGTCGAGTTTCACAACCGCTTTCCCGGCACTATTGCCGTGTCTGTGAACCCACGCACGGGCAGTGTGCACTGCAGTTTCGGCCCCTGCCGGCACGCAAACCCCAACTTGAGCTGGCCAAAGGGAAGTGCGCACTTCGTCCCGGATCTGGCGGAGGAGGCACTTCCCGACAAGGCGGCGAAGGATCTCCCCAATGCGATCGGCCTAACGCCGCCGCTAGGCTTGGGCACCGCGACAAGGCCGGCACCTGCTAAACCAACTGCCACGCTTGCAGGGGCATGACCACGCGCCAGCAGCAGGTGAGGGCGTGGATGAAGCAGTCTGTGTCTCCAGGCGAGCTTGCATCCAGAAGATGTTGGGCCCGGAGGCCGGTGGGCCCTGGCGATGTGCCGGCCAGGAAGCTGCGGAGGGCGGCTGCAACCGTCTCAGGCGTGATGTCAGCACAGAGCGGCATCTGTTGGGGATCTGGTGGTTGGAGATGTGGCTGTTGTGTTCCGCCAGCAGGGCAGCACAGGCTTTGCCATCCCAGCCCTCACGTGCTAGCCCTGTGGCAAGTTCCCGCCGCTGTTGGGAAGTACGGCTCTGGCGCCGAGGTTTGGGTGGAGAGTGCCGGCTGGTCCACAGAGCCATCCGCTCCCCTTCGTGCCATCGGGCCAGGCGGTCCAATGTGTAGGCCGCCAGAGCCTTGTGATGTTTTTTGCCCCCGCGCGGTGGCGCATCCAAGACTGCTTGGGGCAGCATGAGCAATTGCTTCCATGCCGCCTCTGTGTTGTGGTGGTGTGCGAGCGCCAAGGCACGGGTGAGGGCTTTGCTCCACGAGTGTCGGGCAGCGTGCGGGACTCGTCGGAGAGTTGGAGTGTTGCTGCCATGGATCTCGAGGATGGAAGGGAGGCTATGTGTTCCTGGCTCAGTGTCTTGCATGTGCCCGGCCATGGCTGCGCGGGCTTCAGGTCGGCAAGTGGGGTGGATCCCAAATCGACAGGCGACACTAAGGCCACAGACAGCGCACCGCTGGCGATTGTGTTGGGCCAGCCAAGCTGCAGGTACGTCGCCTGAGATGGAACCAGCCATGTGTGCATCAATATGGGTCTGCATGGTGTGGACCGAGCGCCAGCCTCGTGCCCGTAAAGGGTCGGCGCACGGGCAAGTGGGAACGGGACAAAAGACTCGGGTGTCCACCTTCATCGGCCCTTGCCCTCGGGGAGGAGATCTTTCTCGTACGTGTTGGCGTTCACCTCCCACTGGGGTCCCGGAGTGGGGGCCTGGAACCGGACACCATGGGCTGGCCAGCCATGCCAGCGTGGATGACGAGTTGGCAGCCGGTCCCTGCGGCGAGGCAAGGGGATGGCCGACTGCCGAGACCAGCTGGTCTTCAAGAAGGTGGTCAAAGCCCGGTGGCGCTTGCGACCAATCCGCTCGGGCAGCCAGGAACTGCATGGGGGAGCTCTTGTGTCGTCCACTGAAGGTTGCTCTGGGCCTCCCCATGCAAGGCCGGGGGGCCACAGCTCAGCAGGGGCCACTGGAACATCTGATCCGGGGCCACAGCTCAGCAGGGGCCACTGCGAACATCTGATCATGCTTAGATCTTCATCTGATACCCAGTCACAATCATCTGGGTCCTCTGTACTGGGCTCATCACCATACCCAACATAGGTTCCTTCACCGTAATTTTCGTTCCAGTCGTAGTTGTTTGTCTCCATCACCTGCTGCTTCATCTCCAGCATGACCATCAAACTCACTTGCAATGTAGCCCGATCGATACCATCCCCTTCCTTTGTTCTTCCCTGCTCCTTTCACTGGAAAGGGCCTTGAAAGAGGGCCCAGATTCCTTGAATCCCTCAAATGGATCCTTCCATGGTGTTCCAACAAGATCTCACTGTATCCCTCAAAGCTGGGTTTCGAGCAGGCAGTCTTGACCATGAGTTGTTCCTGTCGGGCGAGGCCTGTTGTCTCAAGGAGAAGGTCAGCCCACATTTGGGTGGATATCGTCATCTCTAGGTCAAGTTCCTTGAACTGAATCCACCATCGTTTCCTCCTTCCAATGGAGGACAAATTCGTCTTTGCAGACTGTCGGCTGAGGGGGCCATTTGCCTGTTGACCAAGCCTGAAAAGTTCCCTTGCCTCATGCGACCTCAAAGGGAACACATGCTCCTTGGACTCTCCACCAGCAATTCCAATCCGGTAGGAGGGCCAACATCCATCAATGCCTTCAGGCCCAAGCCTTTGCCCATGAGAAATGCATCCCCCCTGAGCCCTTCTATGACCTTTGCGACGAGCTCCACATAAGGAGAAACATCAACCATGTCTTCATCATCATGATGGCCACGGGGTGTAGCACTGTGAGGCGAGGCAAGACGACCAACCCCATGGTCACCTGAGCCTGATGGGGCTTGGGGCGACACTTCAGCAGCAGTTTCTTCTTCTGCATCCTCTTGTCTTGCCGCGTCTGTCGGCTGACGTCTCCTCCGAACACTGTTTGCAGGGCTAGCCGCGGAACTGGATGCTTCCCTGGCCTTTTCCTTGGCCTTCTACTCCATCTTCTTCGTGCAGAGTTCCACACGAAGAAGGGTTCTGAATTGCCATTCGTGACGGGCTTCCTCCAGTATACACGTAGGCTCCACTTTTCGTTGCCAATGGTCTTGTAGGACTGCTTGGGCAGTACCTCTTGCCGGCCATCGACATGGCGTTCGATGGGATTTCAACGATTCTTCAGGATGTTTCTACGTTACAAAATTACACACAACAAACACATACAGCTTTTCGGACCTAGGCTATCACCGTGAGAGTCCGGATGTCGGGAGTGAACCCTCCGGAAACCAGCTCCACCACCGGTTTGAATCCGCTTTTGCAACCAACAGCTCAAAGGCCCTAGATCAGGGTAGTTTGAACCGGAACCACATGACAAGGAACATGGTGTAAGGATCCAATTGATCTCAGACTCACACCACTGACCATGACAATGATGATGATGATGATGATGATGGTGATGATTTGATTGATGATGGTGAATTTGTTTTTTGCTCGCACCTTTTTCCTGCATGAGTGCATGGTCCCCCAAACTCTTTGTGGTTGGCTGACTGCTTTTATACTGGCCAGTCTCCAAATGTGCTCAGTCCACCAAAGGGGGAAGTCCAAAGTCCAGCAAAGTCCAAACCGGTGTGTGGTCACCTGCCCGGGAGCCGGCTTGGGGTGGTAGTGCCGACGGGCGTTTGGGCGAGCAGGTGCCCTAGGGGTGGGGGCGCCCCATCCCCATTATTGCAGTTGCTGTCCCGGGTGTTGAGGAGGGAAGCCGCGAAGGCATGCATGCTGGCATGGGTTAGTAGGGCCGACCGTCGAGCGATGAGTGTTGTGATGGTGGCTTGTCTCAGTGGGGCGGGGGTTTCTCTTGCTCTTGCTTGGGCAAGTAGGCGGAGGAATTGTGTTGCCTCCGTGCTCCATCGTCCACCCACCTCTATTGCTAATGCCACCACGCGGCATCTGCCTGCTCCAACCAACTCGGGGTATGTCCGTTCTTTGTTGCGCCGTGCTGTGTGGAGGGCTGCGCCGGCATATTGGCCCCCTCGCTGACGTGGTTGCGCATCGCTTGTGAGTGGCGAAACAAGGGTAGTGTCGACTGCGAGTTGGGCACCGTGCCACATAGGAAGTCCGTTTGCGATGACCTCGATGGTGCGGTCATCGAAGCGTTGCACAGCAGGGATGTTGAGGTTGCTGAGTCTTGTGTGCATGGTGACACGTGCACCGGCTTCGCGGCACACCCTCGCAGCTGCCTGTTCTACCCCTCTGCTTCGCAGCACCCCCGCCCGGGCACAGGCCGCGCAGTGGTCGCCAAGTGGTTCAAGATTGCGACGGGGCCGACAAGCTCGTTCGGTAAGAGGTAATGGAAGCCGAAGGCAGCGGAGCAGGAGAATGCGAAAAATGTGGTCAGGATACGTCGTGCCTGTGGTATATGGAATTGTGGTGAAAGCCCTGCTGGCAAAGGTCCCGTTTGGGAATCGAGCAAGGCTTGGCTGGCTGCATCGATACTGTTGTATACCCCTGCCCTGGCTGTTCCGTGGAAAGGGGCTGACGCGTGTTGTTGCCAGCCTGGTTGGGTTGGCCCTGTGAAAGTTTCTGCTTGGGTTTGGGGCGGCTGTTGTGCGAGCACTTGTTGCCAACTTGGGGGTTGCCACCCGTGTGCGTGTATGTGTTGGTGAGCGGTTTGCGCTGCTTGTATCCAAGGCTGTGCTTCGTCCAGGTTGTTCAGTGCCTGGGCGATGGTCGCTGCTACACTTGGGAGTTGGCGTTGCAAGACTGGCATGGCATCGGCCCATGATGCCCAGTGGGCGGGGGTGGACGGTTGGGAAGCACTCATGAGACCCAAGCCTCCCATGGCCAGGGGGAGGTGTGCTCTTGCCAACGTGTCTACTGGCAGCGAGTCTGTTTGCAGAAGCTGCGTGGTGATAATGCAGAACCTGATCGCGATGATGACGGTAATGACAACGGTTGTTTTGATGATAATGGAAGGGTTTTTAGTATTGGCATCATGACGGTTTTGATGATGCTGATGCTCATGATGATGATGATGATGGTGATGATGATGATGGTGATGATGATGATGGCGATGATGAAGGTAACGGTGACCACCATGAAGGTAAGAATGCTATTGTTCCTGATCGTGAAGACGATGATGATGATCATGGTGATCATGATGCTAAAAATTCATGATGATGATGATGATGACGATGGTGGTGGTGGTGGTGGTGGTGGCAATGATGATCATCATGATGGTGAAAGTGCTGATGCCCATGATGGCGATAATAATGATGCTGGCGATAGTAATGGTGATCACAATGATGGTGGAAATGTTGATGCTCATGATGGCGATGATACTGATGATGATGATGATGATGAAGGCGATGGTGTAAGAACGACGACCATCATGACGGGAAAATGCTGATATTCATGCTGGCAAGGATGATGATGATGATGATGATGATGATGAAGGCGATGGTGTAAGAACGACGACCATCATGACGGGAAAATGCTGACATTCATGCTGGCAAGAATGATGATGATGATGATGATGATGATGATGGCGGCGATGGCGACGGTGATGGTGAGGGTAATGACAGTCATCATGATTGTGAAAATGTTGGTGCTTAATGATGATGATGATGATGATGATGATGATGATGATGCGGATGATGATGAGGTGGAGGGGGAGGGGGAGGAGGAGGAGGAGGAGGAGAAGGAGGAGGAGGAGGAGGATTTCAATGACGAAGATGACACACGTTGTGAGGATGAGGGTGCAGGATGAGGATGAGGTGGTGTTCGGTAGCTAAAAACTCAAAATGCAAGCAACGCAGGGCAACGAAAAAATAGTTTGGAAGTAAAACCAACGCATTTTTTTGAGAAAGGGCAAGGCATTGCACACAGTCGGTTTTGCGGCCCGGCGAATACAAACACACTAGTGCTGCAGTGTTGCTGGTCAAAAAGGTGACACTTTGTATAAGTCAAGGTCACGGTCTGGACTATTTTCGAAGCTACCACGTGGTCAAATTATTTTTTTGAACAAAGTGAAAGCACTTTTTGCGGCACATACGCAATCCAATGCAGACTAGATGAAAACCTCCATCGCTCTTCAAATTTGTTTTGTTCCGTAATTGACGTCTGGCCTGGTGTGTGCCAACTCCAAACAGCTCAGGCTCCTGTTGATTGAGCAGTTGTTCGTCTTCAATGTTGGTTTTTCCAATTGTTACTCCGGTTGTTGTTGCAAGATTCCATTTTTTGACCATCATTTGGTGGAAGATGTTGTCCACGTACTCATCATCAAGGCTGATGTCGAAATGATTTCCTTTGTTGGTGGTTCTTCTTCTCAAGCATGAAATTGTGTGTTGCATGGTAATTTTTCACCAGTCGCTCGCAATAACATTTTTTTGCGATCTCTCCCAACA